GCTCCCGTGAAAAGCAAGTTCCGCCTTGCATGTATTGCACACGACAGCATTCTTGATTTGAAGTTTTGTGAAACTTTCCCAAACCTAAACCTTGCTAGTTCGGATTCGTTTGCACTGTCATAATTCGCGCTGTGTTTTCTTCTACCGCAATAGCATTTGTAAGGGCTGCACTACACTCTAGCGCTACAGCGCCGTAGCGGTCAAATCGCGGGATTGCAGGCCCTTACATTAGGCCACGTGAGATCAAACGACTACTCGACAACAAAGATATTTGTCGACAAATATTTATTGTCGACGTTGTCGACAACGTCGACTAATCGTTGCAGCCCTAACACACACACACACACACACACACACACACACACACACACACACACACACACACACACACACACACACACACACACACACACACACACACACACACACACACACACACACACACACACACACACACAGGCCTATTGCAATCACTTGTACATCAATGGCAAGTTATATTTCTCAAACAGTTTTTCTCTCTGACACAGGTCCAGCCAGGCTAAACAGGACAAGTGGAGCATGTGCAGGGAAACGATTGGGAATAAAAACAAGTTATTTTCTATAAATATTTTTGAGTCTTAATTTTCTTTTCTGACATAGCCTGGCTACTTCAGTTCTTGTTAAAACACACCAGACGTGCAAATTCTGTGCATTTTGGGCACTTTTGGGGTGAAATCATATTTATTTTGTCCATCAAAAGTATGCTTTCACTTTAATTGAGCGCGAGCAGAATAGACTCGGCGCTGAAACCCGCGCTTCACTGTTGCTCACGCGACGCTCCTGCTTGACGCTCACGCGCTGCTCCGGCTCCCGGTGTGAATGCACTCATTGATTAACATGCACGCCGAAGAAAAAAAACCCCCGCTGCTCACGCTTGCGGTGTGAAACGGTCGTAATTCACGAGGTTTCCTACATGTGTGTTCCGTGTGCACGTGTGATGCTGATGTTGCGCGATGTTAATCATGCGGCGCCCGAGTGCATTTGACCGGCATAACATCGGCATGTCAGACTGACCGGCCGGTCGCCGATCATGGCCGATCACGTGAAAATCGGTCGATTCCGGTCACCAGCCGATCAATCGGTGCATCTCTATTAAAATGGGAATTTCTCTGAAATTAAAAATCTAACTTTTGGGATATTTAAGTACACAACTGCAGGAAATGTATATCACACTGTGCAAGTTATTTTTTTATATTTTATTACAAAAATCTTACATATTGTACCTTTAAAATGCATAATTAAAAGCTGAATTAATTAAATGCATATTACATTGTTTTAAAACTACACTGTAAAATAAAAAATGGATATTTTTCATAGTATAATAGTTATTTTACTTTTGTAAAATTACAACATTATTGTCTCATTTTCTTCACTTGCAAGTGTTAAACCCTTTAGCTTTTATTTGTGGAAAACTGCAGAGAGACCTTTTACGTTTTTGTGACATTCTCATTACAAATCTAGTGTAATGTTGTAAACTTCCATAGAAATGTTAGAAATTATGCAAGTCTGGGTAATTAATAGGAAACCCTATTGAATATTGTGTTGGCTCATTACATTGTATTAGCTATTTAATGTTTTCATTCACTTAGAGCTGCACGGTTGTGGATAAATTGAGAATCACATTTTTTTGTTTCAAATAGAGATCACCATTATCCCACGATTCTGAATAGACAACTAAACAAAATAACGTGTAATTTACTTACTAGAGGTTCTGACAATGTTAATTGCTGCAGTCTATTTAAAAATATATTTAATTTAAAATATTTTTTTTAAATTGAATGAATGATGAACGGATTGAATGAATGATTCAATGACTCCCTCCTAAAGACTTCACTTATTTAATTACTGCTTTATCTGAGTTTTTTTTTTTTTACAAATCTCTTGAATGAATGATTCAATGGCAAATAAATGTTTTAAATCACTTGTCGCCACCTTCTGGTGTCACAATGTAATATAGGCTATTCAGTTGTTATTTGAAGCATCGAGTTCCTTTCAAAAGGTGATTTACTCTATTTTAATGACTAGATTCCCTAGCGTAGATGGTGTTTATATCCGAACTATAAACTTTAATACCAGTGCCTCTGTGATAATTTGAATGTTTCTAACATAAATAATGATATTGTGTGGTTAAATACTGTTTGTGAAGCTGTTTCATACCTAATGTCAGCTAGCTCTCTCTGGGTCAGTGGCAACGCAATGCGAATTTGAATGTTCCACTGTGATCGTACTCGTCAAATATTTAATAGACAGCAGAATGATTTTCATTTAGGAATTCCGCTACTACAGTACAGACTACAGAGGCTTATGTAATCGCCCTCCTCTTCGTTGCACTGGGGTCAAACTAACAGCTGCCAGTAGCTTCACCTTTCCCACAGATTACACGGCCATAGACTTTAAGGAAGGTCAGAGACAAGCAGTTTCTTATCAACAACAATAAAGGCCAACCCATAAATGAGTTCAGAACCTGATTTGAATGTTTTTCTGGTCACACAGCTACTGTATGTCATGCAAGGTGTGTCAGGCTGAAGAAGAGAAATCTTTAGCTATAGTGCAGACAGAGTGACGGGTGTCTGATGTCGGTGCACTGACTTGCATGGCAATCAGGAGACTCACGGTGTAGGAAGTATTGGCTTTGCAGTCATTCCCTGTATAATCCAGCTCAATCACTCAGTCTTAATCTGACCCTTCAGGTGAAAGCAAAGCAAACCAGTATGTGCAGTGCACTGCAGCCCTGTAAGAAGTGATGATAGAAGACTGAAAATTAACTTAAGCTTTTTTCACAGCATTTTTATGCACATCGATAATATATCAATAATACATTCAAGGGCAATGTTAGAGAGTTTGCGTGTATGTCAATATTAGTTATTTGATTGTGCATGCTCATTTACTCTTTTTACATTTAAAGTCCCTGTAAAGTCAAAATTAAGTATGTGTTTTGAGTTTGTCACACCACAGAAAAATGTGTTATTAGTCACCCAGCCAAATTTGAATGATAAAAAAAGCCAGCAAGTACATAAAATAAGCTATCAAAATCTTGAAAAAATGAGCAGTAATCTCTGCTCTCAAACGCTGGGGGCGTGTCCACTGGCTGCGCTGAAACCACGCCCACTCGCAGGAAAGCTGCCGTCGTCGACTTGCCTCACTCAACTCTACAGCCGGAATGGATGCTCGCACGGTGGGCACGCACTGCCGAATGGCACCAGTTGTCGGCGCGACGGGAGGATGAAGGCCGAGGCGGGAGTCGGTTCGGCCCCATTCACCAGTAACAGCGGATTATCAGTGAATCCCAGACAGTTATCTCCGACGAAAGTTTATAAAACTATCCAGTGTAAAATGATCACTTACAGAGGCGGGTTTTGGCGGTGATCCTCAGCTCTCCATCAAGGTGGCTCTTCACAAAATGAATCCACTTCTTCTTGATGTAATCGTTTTTCGGAAATTTAAACAAGGACACCGATCTGTTTTGTACGTGATCCGGCGATCGCATCCAGGTAGTACGCATTTCCGTGACGAAGGCATAGCTAGTAGCTAGCAATCTGTAGGCTGTGTTACTAATAATAGTACTGACAGTAACTCGCGATTGAGCGGCAAACTGATGTGAATGTGCTCTATATAATATTGTTAGGAGCGGCCAGCCTCAGTGCGTCATCAAGTAGGGGCGTGTCCAGGAGCTCAAGGGCTCCAGTGCGTCATCGAGCCCTGTTTTAGCCCCGCCCAGAAAATCCGTAAAATATCAATGGTGAAAAACTGTTTAACGGTCTAACTCCACAATTCAGTACTTCACAGTTCACAGTCTTTGTAATATGTTTTAGCAATACATTTCTAACATTTATAATGTGTTTAGAATTTTTTTTTGAAATTGCCTTTACAGGGACTTTAAATTGATTGGTGCTTTCTAATGCTTTAATCATTAAAAATGCAAATCCTAGTCAATAACACCATTAAATGTAATCTTTTGCAAATCTTAGAAGGAACATCCATTTTTTCATACTGTACATTGTCACTTGTAGCATTTAAAATGATAGATTTTTTGTTTTTAGTGTTTTATTTTGAATTTATTTTGACAAAATACTAGTATAACATTTTTATATCCATTTATTAATTTAGTCCTAATTTGTAAGTCGCTTTGGATTACTTTTTAAATGACTAAATGTAAATTGATCAGTTTTCGCCCATACCATCAAAATAATTATTGGCTTATCAGTATCTGCCAGAATTTTATCGGTGCATCACTATTTTTAAATTTGCTAAAGAAAATGTGAGCACTGCTTCTCTGTGTAATACTCGCTGACATGTTGTATTTGGTTGTGAGGTGATTTCTTAATATTAGCTAAAAATCAGTGGTAAATTACCTTCTTTTTTTTTTTAAGTTAAACATCTTTTCAATTTCACATCCCACAGCTAAATGCTGTAAAAGCTGCCTGTGTGTGTAGAGAAATAATGATGACTCCAGTCCAGTGACTATATTCTGTTAGGAGAATCATCTCCCCACATGCCTTGCCAATCTGACCTGGCTTTATGTCCGTGCTTGAGTCATTCTGCAACAGTGGCAGTTTATCTCTAGTCCTGCTGTGTGTCGATCAGACAGGGCTCTTAATCTAGACCTATATATAGAAATTAAGGATGTATCTTGATGTAGGAAAGGGATGGGCCATACAGGAAAAACTCATCATTCTTTCTGAAGGAATTCTGTAATAAAATTAGCTTGGATAATAAGAAGCTTTGTAATTTGAGTCCAAAGAAAAAGCATTGCCTTGGCAACTGACACGTTTTGCATTGTGTAACTAAAGTCACCTGCCTTGCAGCTGTCAGCAGACCTTCTGCAGTGAAATCTCTCTGTTAACCCTGGTTGTAATATAATATAATAATATAATATAAATCTCTCTGTAAACTCTGGATAATGATGACCTTACCCTGCTTTGCATCTTTCATCAAAGTCTGTATTTTCTTTTCTCTTCCAGAATGCAGCATGCGTTGTTGTGGCTGCCAGAAATGTCAGCGCATCCACGGTATGTATCTGCATAATTTCAGATGCTGGATCTCTGATCACAGCCAGAACCAGACTTCAGATGTTAATTACACTTACTGAGATTAGATCACAGCCTTGCTTTTGAAAGGTTGAGTCACTATCAAATGTCGGTGTATACTTTTTTTGAACCTCAAAAAGCACTTTGTCCTTTATAATGCATGTTAGACAGTTATTCAATCTGTTTGTGCCAGATTCACTAACCAAACACTGACTTTTTCCCCTTGAACTTATGCAGAATTTAAAAGATGTCTTGGCAGACCTCATCCCTAAAGAACAGAGCAGGATCAAAAACTTCAAACAGCAGCATGGCAAAACTTCAATCGGTCAGATAACGGTGGACATGGTGAGAGAAACATCACTGCACTCACCATTACTGTCTGTAAGGTTTTTTTAGTGCTTAGGCTAGTCGTTTTAGTACTTAAACTCATTTTATTTCAGTTACTTGCCAAGGCAACATTGTTCAATGTTCAACATAAAAAAAAATTATAGTCTCTAATATTTATTTTTTTGTCATGTCAATTTTAACAAACAATTTTTAGTAGTTTGTTTTTGTTAACAATCACAACACTGAGACAGTAATTCACTTCAACACCACTCACACTTTGTTTACATATCAGAGATTCACTTTTAGCAGAAGGATTGTTCTTTATGCTTAGAATAGTTTAAAAAAAAATACCGTAGTGTAAAAAGCAATAAGGCTGTGCTGTATTGTAAACATAACACTTTAATCGTGATAATATTTAGAGTACCTTATTGCTTAAATGAATATTTTCTAACCTATTGGCCCCATTAAAGGGATAGTTCGGCCAAAAATGATATTTAAACCATGCATTACTCACCCTCAAGCCGTTCGAGATGCATATGTCAATCTTGTTTCAGACGAACACATTTTCAGTTATTTTAGAAAATGTCTTAGACCCTTCAGTGGATATAATGTGAAGCAATGGGGTCCACCTCCTTCAAGTCCCAAAATGTGCATATATCCTTCACAGAAGTAATCCATCCGGCTCCAGGGGGATAAACGAAGGCCTTATGAGGGTAATCCGTGCAGTTTTGTCGTAAAAATATACATATTTAAAACTTTATAAATGAAAATATCTGACTTCCGGCAACGATCGACGCACGTTCACGGGTGATGTTTTGCTCTGCTCTCTGGCTGCGCGGGCGCGTTCGTTCTACGTCACGACGCTACGTCCTACCTCGTACGCCGACTTCCATCACCCGTGGACGCGCGTCGATCGTTGCCGGAAGTCAGATATTTTCATTTATAAAGTTTTAAATATGTATATTTTTACGACAAAACCGCACGGATTACCCTCATAAGGCCTTCGTTTATCCCCCTGGAGCCGGATGGATTACTTCTGTGAAGGATATATGCACATTTTGGGACTTGAAGGAGGTGGACCCCATTGCTTCACATTATATCCACTGAAGGGTCTAAGACATTTTCTAAAATAACTGAAAATGTGTTCGTCTGAAACAAGATTGACATATGCATCTCGAACGGCTTGAGGGTGAGTAATGCATGGTTTAAATATCATTTTTGGCCGAACTATCCCTTTAAGACTCAAATACCCCTTTATCAACACGAATCAGAAATGTTTCCTGTTTACTCGTATTTTACTGGATATCATTGAGGATTATCATTAATAATTTTGAAGATGGTAATTTTATTAGTGAAGTAAATCAATTATTATTAATACAATTACTAATATTGTATTCTTTCTTTTTGAGTAACTGGTTAGGAGTCATTGGCTTAAATTTAGGATATATTACCCCTTATTACCCCAGCCAGGTTCTGTTTCGTCTGACTGATGACACGAGCAAGTGTTGCCTAACATGCCTGACCAGTTCTCTCACATGATGTGGTGCTGCACACCCCCACAAACACAGTAATAGTTTCTTGCCCTCTGATTGGACGACTGTTGTCTCAAGGACCTTCAGGCTATGGTGTGAGTGCTGCTGCTCTCATGGCTGTTCTTTCAGCTGAGTCATGTGGTCTTTGTCTCACTGCCAGTTATTCTACATTGCAGACTAAACTGCATCCAAGGGGTATAATTACTCAAAAATATGACAGAGGGCAAATATAGGGCAGAGAAGTGAGATGGTGGACTGGAAAGCATCACTAAAGGGTGATGATAGAAGTATCTCAGTAATGTTTAAGTGCTGTTTTTCTGTTCAACAGGTTTATGGAGGAATGAGAGGCATGAAGGGTTTAGTGTACGAGACCTCTGTGCTCGACCCTGATGAGGTGAGCACACACACACACGAGTCATGTGTTGTCAACCCGGTGTTGCTAAAATGTAGCTTAAACCAGGTTATATTTATTTAAACATTTGTTAATTATAAATAAATGTAATGCCTTTTTTGTGTTATGAAATTATAATATTAAAGTCTTAGTAGTAATACAATAGCATTTATTACTATTCATATATTTTATTTTTATTAGAATATAATTGTATTGTTCAGTTATACTTAATATTTTAGTATTATTATTCAAAACTCCTGTTTCCCATAAAATTTAGCCGTCAATATGCATTTGTCCTTGACACGTACAATAGGCATTTCAGATTTTGAAAATGTACCATGAGTGATGTCATAGAAGCTCATTATTTGCACATAGTACAGCTGTGCTGCTGTATGCTAAAAATAGATAGCTGCACCACGGTGCCTTGAATAAATATACATTTGGTTAGTAGTATTTATCCTACTAACCCCTGACCCCTGTCAGAGTTTGAAGCGCCAGTTCTCCTTGTTTACTTTATTCAGTCGAATGTACTGATGCCCTCCCTGTGTTTATCGATCGCGTCTTTAGGGCATCCGTTTCCGTGGTTACAGCATTCCAGAATGTCAGCAGCTGTTGCCCAAAGCTTCCGGCGGAGAGGAGCCGCTGCCAGAGGGTCTGTTCTGGCTGCTGATCACAGGACAGGTGCCCACTGAGGAGCAGGTGAGGAGGAATTCATTCATTTTCATATTCACTGCAGTGTTACCCGTTAAAGAGATACAGGGTGCAATAGTGCAATAGAGGAAAAATCTATTGAGAAACAAAGAGTTTTGTTCCAGCTCTCTTTGTGTAGATCTTAATAGGGGCTTTTGCACCGGAGAAACCACATCGTAGTTCCTAGAATTAATGACAGAAGTACCTGGTTTTTGGCTAGGAACGATTTTAGTAGGAGCTCCTTTTGGGGAAACTTAATTAGCTCCTACTTCAGAGTAGGGTCTAACCCAGTGCAATAAACTACCAGTGACGTAAGTGTATGCTGATTGGCTGAATGCACCATTAAAAAAAAAAAAAAGCTGTGTAAACAGTTTATAGCCTATATATTTACTCCATAAACTAACTCTATGAACATGGAAAACAGTGATTTAGAAGGACCTCTCAACCTTTACGCTAAGGAGAAAATCCAATGCAACTTTGGGCGGACCAAGTGAAATATGATTATGTATTTCTGCCCAGCTAGCGACATTGGGCATTAACTGCACAGCAAACGTTAATACTTTTTCACATACTGTCTACTTTCTTTGTATAACAGTTCTATCTAATAACGCATTAGACAAGACTGTTAAACAAACAAACTGTTAACTAATGAAAACGGAGAATGGGATCGCTGTGTGCTCAGGCTCTGCCGTTCTCAGCGCAGTCGAAATAAGTCACCACAACAAGTGCGGCTTACGTCACTTCAGAGTTCCTACTGGCAGTGCGAATGCAACCAGGAAAATGGCCCTAGGGGAACATTTAATTATTGGGGAACCACCCTAGTGGCTAGATGCTATAACCAAGTTCCTAGAAAAACCTGGTGCGAAAGCCCCTAATATTAACGTAAAAGAAAATGTACAGTCGGTCTGTATTTATCATAAAATAAACCCGAGTAAGGTGTTTAGGATTTGAGACAAAACACAAATTATCCCTCTTAGTAGTCTTACATGATTGCTTACCAAAATTATTTTGTTGATAAAACACTTATTTGAGATTCTTTTTAAAACTAGTTTCAACTTGCTTCTTTGGTTTTGTAAGTGATTATTTTTATTTTCTTGAGCTTCTAGATGTGTATATGTGTGTATCTCCATGTAGTAACTTGCCTCAAATCTTTTTCCTCTCATTTAACTCTGTTTCCTCAGGTGAGTTGGTTGTCCAAGGAGTGGGCTAAGCGCGCGGCCCTTCCCTCTCATGTGGTTACCATGCTCGACAACTTCCCCACCAACCTGCACCCAATGTCTCAGTTCAGCGCCGCCATCACGGCTCTGAACAGTGAGAGCAGTTTTGCCCGGGCTTACTCTGAGGGAGTTAACAAGGCCAAGTACTGGGAGGTGAGTCGTTGGAAATATTTGTTCTAGAAACTTTATTGGTGAAGTGTGTAAAGATAAACCTGATGATAAGACTAAAATGACTTTTGACTAAGATATTTATTTGCTATCTAATGCAAATGATACATTCACAAAAATTCACGCCACTTCTGTGTAGTTCGTGTACGAAGACTCAATGGACTTGATCGCCAAGCTCCCCTGCGTGGCGGCCAAGATCTACCGCAACTTGTACCGTGAAGGCAGCAGCATCGGCGCCATCGACTCCAACCTGGACTGGTCACACAACTTCACCAACATGCTGGGCTACACCGAGCCACAGTTCACAGAACTCATGAGGCTGTACCTCACCATTCACAGGTGATGACCTGCAAACTCACTGACTCATTCGTCATAAACTCCTCCGCCACTGTTAGGTTCTAGTAGGGCTGGGCGATAAAACGATAATGATAATTATCGCGATATAATTTTTCTCGATAAAACGATATCAAGAGGTCGATAAATGTTCGATAATGTGTATGCGCCAAAAGCGGAACGAAACTCATTTGAACCGCACGCCACACAGACCGTTTATCCGCTCGGCTCAAAGTCCAAATGGCAGCGCGAGCTCACTAGAGCAGGCGCGTTTACTCTGATCGTCTCGCTCACGAGATCCAGTGAGAAGCGCTTAAGTTCAGCGAAGAACACAAATGTCCAGTTTAAATCAGTTTAAAGGAAGATGAAACACCGCTGACAAACAGGAGAAACACTGTACGCAACGACACAGTCAGAATCTAAATTGATACTGAATATGTTTAGCCTACCTTGGATTTACTGTAACGTTAGCCTAGGCAAGGCAAGGCAAGTTTATTTATATAGCACATTTCATACACAATGGTAATTCAAAGTGCTTTACATAGAAGAAATTAAAATAATCAAAACAAATAAGAATAATTAAAACAGTTTAGAATAAAAAATAAAGTACAGTAAAGTCGGACGAACAGTGGCACAGTGCTCATTCAGTAAATGCATAGCTAAACAGATGTGTTTTGAGTCTGGATTTGAATGTGACTACTGTAGGAGCACATCTGATCTCTTCTGGAAGCTGGTTCCAGCTGCGGCTGGCATAATAGCTAAAAGCAGACTCACCTTGCTTAGAGTGAACCCTTGGTATTTCTAGCTGATGTGATCCTAATGATCTGAGTGATCTGTTAGGTTTATATTCAGTGAGCATATCTGCAATATATTGAGGTCCTAGCCCATTAAAAGATTTATATACCAGTAATAATACTTTAAAGTCAATCCTAAATGTAACTGGGAGCCAGTGTAGAGACCTGAGGACTGGTGTGATGTGTTCATATTTTCTGGTTCTGCTCAGGATCCTGGCAGCAGCGTTCTGTATGAGCTGCAACTGTCTTATGGTCTTTCTGGGAAGGCCAGTGAGGAGTCCATTACAATAGTCCACCCTGCTGGTGATAAAAGCATGCACAAGTTTCTCTAAGTCTTGATTGGAAACAAAGCATCTAATTCTTGCAATATTTTTCAGATGATAGTATGCTGATTTAGTTATTGCTTTGACATGACTACTGAAACTAAGGTCTGACTCTAGAGACACACCAAGATTCCTGACTTGATTTTTAGTTGTTAGACCCTTAGCGTCAAGGTATGCGTTCACCTTGAGAACTTCATCTTTGTTTCCAAACGCAATGACTTCAGTTTTGTCTTTGTTTAACTGAAGAAAGTTTTGGCACATCCAACTGTTGACTTCATCAATGCATTGGCACAGGGAGTCAATGGGGCTGTAATCGTTAGGCGATAGGGCTAAGTAGAGCTGTGTGTCGTCTGCATAGCTGTGGTAAGAGATTCGGTTCTTTCTCATTATTTGGCTCATTGGGAGCATATACAGGTTGAATAGGAGTGGTGCAAGAATTGAGCCTTGAGGGACTCCGCATGTCATGGATGTCCACTCAGACTTATGGTCTCCTATACTCACATAATAACCTCTCCCTTCTAAGTATGACCTGAACCATTTTAGGACTATCCCAGAAAGCCCCACCCAGTTTTCCAGCCTGTCAAGAAGTATGTCGTGATCGACAGTGTCAAATGCAGCACTGAGGTCGAGTAGTACCAGCACTGATAATTTCCCTGTATCAGTATTTAAGCGAATATCGTTTATTATCTTTATGAGAGCTGTCTCTGTGCTGTGATGCGATCGGAAACCAGATTGAAAATTGTCAAAGTATAGATTCGAGGTTAAGAATTTGTTCAGCTGATTGAAGACAACTTTTTCAATGATCTTGCCTATAAAAGGAAGATTTGAGATCGGTCTATAGTTGCTTAATATAGTCTTATCCAGATTGCTTTTTTTCAGGAGGGGCTTGACAACTGCAGTTTTCAGGGAGTTTGGAAAACTACCAAGTAATATTAACCTAGTAATATTAACTGCACCATGAAATGTGGGATATACATATTGAATTGTATAATATTATTAATGTAGACAATGTATTAAATGACTAATGGAATATAATTACAGTATTTAATAATGTATTTAACTGTTAGGCTACTGTTTTTCATACAAATACCTAATACCATAGAAACAATAAAGTTACATTTTGCCATGATAGTGAGGTGCTATAGGTTATGCCTGGTTTTATCTGTGGTTATCATGATCTAAATGCATGATACTGGATGACCAATGGTTAATTTTAATAAAACTCAAACAGTCAGAATATTACATTTTACCAAATAAAAATGTGGTCCTTAAATAAAAAAAAACAGATGTTACTGTTTTTTTTAATGAACATAAATTTAACATAGTAGCATTAGCTTGAGTTAGATGTAGATTTACTGTCAACTCACTGTCAAATATCCATTTCGAGACAAAACATGTAATTTGAATATTGCAGCCTGCTCTGCAAACTGTGCTGAAGAAATATTTTTCTTTTCAGATATTTATTTTGTTAAGGAAAAATGACAAATGTTTGAATGTTCTACCTCAGATTTTTAAAACCACAACGCTCTGATTTATACAACTTTCACTTAGGAGCAAAAATCTGCCTTTAAACTTGAAAGAAATAAAGATTTGACCGTTAACGTGATAATTATCGATATCGACTGATATAAAAAAAAATATCGTGATACATTTTTTGGGCCATATCGCCCAGCCCTAGGTTCTAGGGAGTCATAAGGAATGAGGTCAGCTTGGACTTTTAACCTTTGTGATTGCCCTCAGAAAAGCTCTCGTGTGTTCTCTCTCTGTCATCAAGCTTTTTGAGAAACACTTGTATTTCCAGTGGAGACCTGAATGCACCTGATGTCTATTACCAGACTGGATCATTCATGCCATTAAACATCAATAGCACAAGTACAATACTGTAAATTGGCTCTTAAAAGGAAAAACATCCACAATCTGACACTGAAAATGACGTGAAGAGCAGTGGTGTAATATTAAAAGCAAACAATTTGCTCTACCTTCCTCTGCAGGAACATGCTCAACAGCGTCAAGTAATGTTTTTTTCTAGGGCAGCAACGATCATTGATCAAGATGTGGATTTAGCTATCTGATTAGTGGCCGAATAAATAACTGACAGATTAATCAAGATAAGATGTTTAACACACAGGAGTTTTGAATGGGATTTAAGACCGGTGAGACATGCAGTCTACGCTAGCAAAAGCAGTTGTCACTTTTATTGCTGAATAAATGGATGCAAATGAAGTACATAAGAAGCCTTAGGTAATAAACTATTTGAATTAATATTAAACAAAATCTACTAATAAATATTGTATTTGAAATCCAATAAAATCCCTAAAACATCTGTTAAATGATCTAATAACCGTTAATGGCATTAAACTGACACACCTCATGAACTTTACTTTTTGAAAAATGATTGTGTGGTGTTTAAAAAAAAAGATCAATAAAAAGTTTATTGATCTAACTTTATCTCCCACTGGCCAGTGACTTTAGACTGTACACGCATTGTTCAGTCAGCAAGGAAACATCCAACTTACTAGTGTACTTATTAGGAAAGAAGGGGGTAGCAAGATGGGAATGACTTCTGTATAGAATATTCAAATGAATCAAGTCTGCCCTCATGTTTAAGTTTCAAGTTTAATTCATTGATAAAGCACATTTAAAACAACTTTGGTTGACCAAAGTGCTGCACCAGAAATATCTAGGTCCATCCCCAAAATTAAAATAAACATTCACAAAACATTAAAAGCGCAAGAGCACAAATAGGTTTTTAAAAGACTTCTAAACTCAGACACTGTGGACGCTGTTTTGATAGATGACAGCAATTTGTTCCAAAACCTGGGGCCATGTGGTTGTGTTAGTTTGCCAGTCTACAATCTAGTTTAGTGTCCTTAACCTTGTGTGCTTCTGTTTCTCTCCAGTGACCATGAGGGTGGAAACGTCAGCGCACACACTAGTCACCTGGTCGGCAGTGCCCTATCTGACCCCTACCTCTCCTTCAGTGCTGCTATGAATGGCCTGGCTGGACCCCTGCACGGACTGGCCAATCAGGTTTGAGCCTTAATGTGCATCGTGTTGCGGTTATAAAATACTAACCAGCTTTGCATTTCATTCATGCATTTCCTCCTCTGTCCTGTAGGAGGTACTGGTGTGGCTGACAGCCCTGCAGAAGGAGCTCGGGGGTGAGGTGTCGGATGAGAAAATGAGAGATTACATTTGGAACACTCTCAAATCAGGCAGAGTGAGTGCCTTTGATATGTTCCAACTTACTGTTTCAATAGGGAATGCATGAACATACAAAAGATGGGGTTGTGAAACTCAATGCAGATGGATCAAAGTATAATGGATGATTATTCACACTGATTGTTCTCTTGCTCATGTCATTATTCAGGTGGTCCCTGGCTATGGCCACGCTGTGCTGAGGAAGACAGATCCCCGCTACGCCTGTCAACGTGAGTTTGCCCTCAAGCACCTTCCCAATGACCCCATGTTCAAGCTGGTAGCTCAACTCTACAAGATCGTACCCAATGTGCTTCTGGAGCAGGGCAAGGCCAAGAACCCCTGGCCCAATGTAGATGCTCACAGCGGAGTCCTGTTGCAAGTAAGACACAAGAAATCAGCCGATAATACATATAAATGTTATTTAAAAGATGATCCGTGGCATTTTAGTACAGGTCTGTATCATTTTTGTCAAGTGCCCCTAAATTATCTTGTATATCTATCTTACCTTGGCTTTCTGTATGTAAATTATGTATTATTTTTTGGTTATTAATTTGAATGTTATTAATTTATCATTTTACCCTATTTTTGTGGTGAAAATGGCATACAATAACCACATATATATATATATATATATATGTCAGAAGTAATTAATATATTTGAAATCGAAATTAACCCAATTTGTTGTTCATAAATATACCTGGTCCTATTACACAGTTGTTTTGAATACTAGATTCTGAATAATCAAGCATGACATTTTGCACTTAAAAATGTTTTTATAATGACCGCTGTAAACATTTCCACTGGCCAATTGCTTTAATGTAGTAGTTTTGTCACGTATAACAAAAAAAAAAAAGATGTAATATATAAATGAGGATACGTATAATATATATATATATATATATATATATATATATGTATATATATATATATGTAATCTATTAAATGCATTACATTTTTGTATACACTTTAAACAAATAATTTATATTAATCTTTTTGTTTTTTTGTTGCCCTTTTCTATTTCTACAGTTTACATCTATTTTTCTGTTTGCTCTGAAATCCTCTCATATTTGTACTCTTGTGTTTTGCAGTATTATGGCATGACTGAGATGAACTATTACACTGTGTTGTTCGGCGTATCCCGGGCTTTGGGCGTCCTCGCCCAGCTGGTGTGGAGCAGAGCGCTTGGCTTCCCTCTGGAGCGCCCCAAGTCCATGAGCACGGATGGACTCATTACTCTAGTTGGGGCCAAATCAGGCTAGAGAGGGAGAGACCATGCCAGCGGAGTGAGAACAGGAAGGGGAGGAGCTTAAACTATTAGAAACAAGCCTCCGGGCTAAGGGATTCAAAGAGACAGTACACTTTTAAATTTCATCTAAAAAGGGCCTTTATTAATATATAACGTCAAGATGACACGTCCCATTTACACTCTTATTAGTCTTTCATTCCCAAAACCACATTTACAGCTACATTTTCACAGGAAATGTGTAGACTCATTACACAGTCATCGCTTGTGGTCACTCCTCTTCAGTTTTCCCGCGTTTAATGCCGATTTTCCAGACCGTATGACCAGCTTGAATGACGCAGCTATGGATGTAGTGGGGTGGGCCGTGTTATTATCCAAAAACACAGCCGAGAGTAAGATATCTTCCCAGAAATCACTCTCCTATTTAAATTAAAGAATGACTATTAATTACTAGTTAAGAAGAGTTCGTTCACATGGTATGTAAATAAACCCTATATCCTCAGCTGTCACACCAACTATTTAGTTTTAGTCTTGTATTTTTATTCTCCCCGAGATCACTTGAGCCTCTGTTTGTATGAGGAAACAAATCGTCAAAGCCCTGCTCTGAGCCTGTCCGATAATTCGATGAAGTTTGACAATGCGTTTATATAGCTAACATCACGTTTCTCCTTGTAAGAGCACTCCATGGCGGCAAAACGGTCCTCTCTCAATAGAATTGATTCTATGAGTTCAGTTCAACTTGGGAAGCTTGTAAATTTGTTTAAAAGGGTACTGCCCCTTTAAGTTTTCTCTCATATTGCTCTGACTTCAACCAATCATCTTCATCTTCCTGTATGTTTTTTGGAAGCACATGTGGTGCCCTTTTTATTTAAACTAACCAGTCCTTCCAATACCCCCCTCGCCCCTCCCCTTTATTTAATCAGTGGACATATTGGCTTTGATTTGTGTCTTTTACACAAGTTATTGTAGTCGCAGGTGATTCGTGTACCAACTTGAGAGCAAGTCGAATTTGTGGCATTCATTTTTACGTTCATCCAAAAGCGTTAAAAAGTCTGCTACCTTTTTACCTGTTTAGAGTTTTAGTTTCCCTTTTTTTTCAGTGTTTTGAAGAACGATGTCTTGTATAAAGAGAAAAGCTGTCATTTTGTGTAGGTATACATAATTTGTGGTTTTATTTATTCATGTAAATATAGTTTGATTGAATGAACTGCATATCAAAAGTCTCACCATCCCTTATAACCATCTCTAATGACTCACTTAACCCTTTATTTTAAATAAACTATACCTTTAATACAATTTAAAACATGACTTGTACATCTGATCTGACCTCTGCTGTGGCGCTCTCTTGCACGCTTGCTCTCAGGTTGTTTTTGGATAATCTAGCAGCTATTTAGGCTAGTCTGTCCATAAGCACTCCAATGGCACTTTCCCCTCCCCCATCATCATTTTCTGTGCGGATAACCCCACTCATCTAATAGCGTGAAAATATTTGTCTGGTTTGCCGTGCCCTGTTCCAGTGTGACTGTTTTCATCATGATGTACGTGATTGGGTTATTCTCCGTCTGGTTAATTTAAATAATGAGGTATGTGAATATGGAGAGAATTGGTTGAAGTCGGATCCACCGGGGAAAAATGGGGAGGGGAACAAGAGAATGGGGTTCAAATGAGTCTGGATTGATTGGGAAAAAGAAGCTTAGGTGAACAAAAGAAAAAAAAATTGGGAAAACTTGACAAAAAAAAGGAAAACCAATAAATGTTTTTAACAAAGCCTTTGAGGATTTTTTTTCTTCTTTTCAACATGAAACACTTTCACTTTCAATGTCTTTTATATGCTCAAGATTCTGATATTAATCAAATTTGATCAGATTCTACCATTCAGCTGTCCATAATGTAATTGGCAATGTAAACGCAATAACCCAATCCAATATTCTGGTTACTAGACACCCAAATAAGAGATACTCTTAAAAATAAAGGTTCTTTAGTGTTTCCATGAAGCTTTTGCCATCGCACGAAATCGAAGTTTTTTGATTATAAAATTGGGTCAAGAACTGTTCACTGAAATGTTCTTAGTGGAACCTCGTGTCCTTGCTGTGAAAACCCCTTGATGTAACCTTAATTTTTAAGAGTGAGCTGGTATATTGCTTTATAATTCTCATATATTTGGAATGTCCACTCTAAAGTAATATTCATTTATTACTTCACATGTTTATTACTTTGCACATGTTCAAATTAGTCGGAGAAATGCCATATTTCGATAGCTTTGGAACATCTAAACTACTTTTTTTTTTTTTTTTTATGAATAAAGGATTAACCAAAATATAAGGGATAGAGAGCACCCAAAAATGAAAACTCTTGTCATTTACTCACCCCTCGTCACTCCAAACCTCTAAGACTTGCTTTCTTCTGCGGAACACATATTTTGAAGAACATTGGGAACAAAACATTGGAGTAGTTTTGTTATCGGTAACTAAAACTTAATGTCAGTAATTGAAATAAAGAAGAAATAAAATATAAATATATGAAACACTTAAATGACAGTTAGAAATGTTGCCTTTGCAACTTACCGAAGTTTAATTTTGACTTTATTTCACAAAAACAACTAACAAAATTACTAAAAGTATAAAAAAAAAAAAAAAAAAAGCTAATTCAAAATATGGTAGCACTTTATTTTAATGGTCCACTAGACATTCTACTAACAATAAATAACTACTTGTCAACTAGGAGTCATTAGGGTTACATGGGGAAATGCTCCCCTTGAGATCAATGTGGATTTACTTCTAAAACTAACATATTTAGATAAAAGTTTGCATGTGCTGGTTGATGTGTTGTTATAGGAAATAAATAGAAAAACTTTTGTATATATATATATAAAAAAAGTTGTTATAACACAAAATGTCAAATATTAAAAGATATAAACATGTACAGAATGTATAAATTACTTTTGAATTAATTCTTATTTATATATTTATTAAAGTGGAATTAATGTAAAATACTAAATCAACTTCTATTTCAATTTTTATTTTGACAATTTAGTTGAATAACCGATGACAGATAAAGCAGAATCCCAGTAAGAGTTTTATCTGAAAGAAAAATTATTCAATGACTTGTATACAGGCTTATATGGATATTTACTTATTGAATTGAAGATATCAAGATTAGATCACTAATTTCCAGAGACAAAAAAAAAATTACATCAATTAACCTCAAAACTGTTTTGCTTTTGATATATCGCTGACGGGGAAAGAGTTAGTGGATTGGTTAATTCAAGTTCAGTTTTAATGGTGAATTCTGTGTAACGATCTTCAGGTCAAGGCAGCATGAATAAGAAACTCCACTAGTCTCTCACGCTGTTATAAATACATGACCCAGATACCACCACCTTACTCAGATTGCCTCAACCTCCACTGCCAGCTTCACGCTGGATTCTTGGTTCCCTGGTGTTCACCACTGTCATGTTTTCACTAGTACTCCTGTATCTCCTCAGCGCTGAGACCGTTGTCCTTAAAGGTGAGCTAGCAATGTGCTACAACTTAAGAGGCAAGAAAGAAAACAAAAGGGTCAATGCATATGCTTTCAAATGAATCTGTTTTCAAGCAGTTCAATTAAAACACACACAAATTATAGGTTTTGAAATAAATTTATAGATTCTCAAAATTAAAATAAAAGCTTGTGCAAGATTATAACACTGACAACAATTAAGGTTCACTGAACAGATAACATTCATTTCATAGAGAATTTGTTCCTAAAACTGTGCTCTTCTCGCTCTAATGAAGCACTGATAATCTCTTTGGTTGTTATTCACAGTTGTTCAACCAAACATTCTCACTTAACAGACATTTAACAAGGTCTTTTTTTTTTTATGACACCCAAGGAATCTACTGATGGTGACGTTATTTCCATGGAAGACTCTTAGACGGGTGTTTGATACTCAATCGACATCTCGACAACGTTATTTGAAGTCATTTATAAATGCCATGAACACTTAGATAAGGCATTGAAATGGCTCAAAATAAAATCTGATAAAATTACCGTTCAAAAAAAAAAGTTTACTTGCCAGCTCATACTGTAGCTTTTCGAAGAAATCACAATAAATGAAGAAAGTAGTGTTTAAACAGACATTAATGTAGCAACAAAACAAAAAATGGCACAGTCTACATGAACAGGCACAAACTGGGATCACTATTAGGGAACAAAAGGCTGTCTTCTTCCATTTCTTTCATTTGGATTTCTCCAAAGCCCTGAGTTAGCATGCTAAATATAATTCTAAATTCACCTTCATTACAAATACACTACGTCTATAAACAAGTTTTTCTGTTCTCTATAAGGAGAAATATTTAGCTGGGAGAAATATTTGACGTCACTCTAACTGTATAATTTATGTTCGTTATATTTACAGTTGTGATTCAAGTCTCAAACCTCGAGTGCGACTTCTTGAGATGAATATTATAAATTCAGTGCAGTGTGAAAGTCAAGTAACTCATTGCAAGCATTTTGAATTCTCACTATATTCATATCTAGCTGTATGAAGGAATATTCCCGGTTAATCCGTGCTTTTCGCATGCTCTCGATTACCACAGAAAATAATATTGACTTAAAAGCATAAAATGCGTCAAAGCTGCGCATTTGCAGTGAGGCAAGTAAACAATGGTTGTGCTGTGTTTTATTGTTTGTTTTTAAAAACGGAGGAGCAAACCGAAATTATGTTCTGTGGTAATCAACAGTCAGTCAGCGTGCGACAGATTTCACCTAAAATATCCCTTTCAGTTTCAGTCATAAGTTCTTCAGATTTGGCCCCAACAAACCCATAGCAGGAAAAAATATGTAAACGAGATGAAACCCTAATAAAACGTTCGAGTGTTTGCTCCTCAACTTTTAAATCTTACCATTCAGAGCTGCAGCAATCAATTAACCTTCATTCACAGTCAAAAAGCAATGTTTGAGGTGCAATGCCTCAAATGAACTGAAATATCATCTATAAGTAAATGGTATCCATCGTACCATCCCAATGTAATCTAGTGATGTGATTTGTCATGCGATAACCGTCTAAAGAGTTTTGCGAGTTCCGGGTGCAGACGAGTCCTGTGTGATGATGCACCTCACGTTTGATGGATCTCGTGAAACATGAGCTCACGGGGTATCCTCGTCTCGGGCCCGTACAGTTTACACGCTCTCCGCTCGAACGCGGCCACCATCTGCTTCACCACCTCGTCGAAAAACACCGTAGCTAACTGCGAATGCAGCAGTGAACGGAACTCGAACGAGATCTGGGGGGAAGCCAACGACATCCAGAGAAAGAGAAACATTTACACACATGGTAGGTTTAACTTTACATCCTAACAAACATCACTGAGCAGTCCCACCCTAGAAACTGCTGCCGTCCACCAGTGTTATTGTTAACTAAAACTAATGTAGAAATAAAGAACAACTACATTGAAATAAACATTAAAAAAAACGTATTTTAACTGCATTTATAAAGATTTTCCATTTTAGTTTAAAGTATGAGAATTACTAAAACTAAAAACACTACAAAAAAATAAAACGGACCAAAAAAACTAAATTACTAAAACTAACAAGGACTTAAAATATAATAACTAATTAGAAATATTAATAAATACTAGGGGTGTGATGCAATATTAAAATGTGACGAGATTTCTCGTCGAGGTGAAAACTGAAGCCAGTCAGTTGAGTTTGTGGCAAAAACTTTTACAGTTCTTGTATTTTGTTGTCTTTTCTATGCATAACTGAAATGACATTCATTCATTCAAGCCGATTAATTAAAACTAGTGCTGTCAAACGATTAAAATATTTAATCGCGATTAATCGCATTAATGTCATAGTTAGCTCGCGATTAATTGCAATTAATCGCACATTTTTATCTATTCTAAATGTCTCTTGATTTCTTTTTGTCCCATTATTTTTTCTAATTTTAATGCTCTTATCAACATGGAAAAGTGGATCGGCTTGCTTTGTGCAAATGTTTTTTATTAAAAACAACATTGACATATACTGTGTTCAATTTCACACTAACATTCTCACTTGGAGCAAATGATCTCTCACACAACGTAACACTGTCCATCAATAAAAGGGTGAAAGAAATACTGAAGAGGTCCTGATATTGACGAGGGGGCGGAGAATTCGCATCAGCTGTGTGTGTGTGTGCTTGGCCATCATCAAGTGGTATTTCAGACTGGACGTGCTGCGATGATGATAGCTCAGTTCACAACGACAAAACACACCATTGACCATTTGGCAACTTTTTAAAAGTAAACTTTCAATTCAGAATCTTATTGGCATCCATTTCGGCGCATCGCGCTCGTCATCCACTCAAAACGTAACGTTAACCAACTATTTGGCCGGATCGCAACAAGTGTGTTTCCGGTCTAGCTAGATCCGGTGCTTTCAGACAGCACGCGGAATGCGCGGCGCTACGCCAGTTTTCAAAACTTTTTGGATGCCAAAACGTTTCTATTGGCCGCGCTGGTAATCGTCGCAGCGGCAAAACTATTTTGAACTTTGACCGCGGTGTACGTGCCGCTGCTCTTGGTCGACGAAGCAACAAAACGTCCTCGCACGGCACAAGCCATTCAAATGAATGGCGCAGCGCCGCGTCCTGTTGCAAAAGCATGTGAAAAAACTACAAAGTTTGCTAGGCCAAAAAGACCCGTTAATCGCGCGATTAAAAAAAAATGAATCACGTTAAAACGGGTTTGCGTTAACGCCGTTAATAACGCGTTTAACTGACAGCCCTAGTTAAAACATTTCAAAATGCACCTGCAGACTATTTTCCCAGGCATGAATTTTGACATTGAAGATTTCTTAAAAATACTGTAAAAAATCTCATCTCGGTTTGTTCTTGTAAACCCAATCACGTGTCTCGTTTAGTGAGCTAAGTGTCTCGTCACACCCCTAATAAATAGTATAGTACTATATTAATGATACTAAAATAACACTTCTGCCCAGTGCCATATGCCCTTTCACAAAGTCTTAATATTGTTTTTGGGGGTCTACTAGAATAGGTTTTCACGCTTGAATGTTAAAAAAAAACTATTATTTTTCACATATTTGACACTGTTCCAAGTCTGTCAGTAACGCTCTGTTTAGTTCCGGTCTCTATGAAGCTCCTCCTTCTGAAAAGCACAATGTGCTCTGATTGGTCGAGTGTGTTGTAATTGGTCGACTGCTTCAAGCGTGTTTTGAAAATGTCACGCCCCATTACCATAACCGTGTTCGATCCGGGCTGGAAAAAACAAGACATGCCGACGACAACTACAAACGCAACTTTTTTTGACAAGCTTGTCAGACCTAGTAACAATAAGCTTAGTATGGTGGATATCTAGGGTGGAGCTTAGCGATGGGTGACCTGGATGCAAACGTTTGTAATTGGTACTTACAGAGAAGTCTACAGTACATGTGCGAGGATAGCCAGGAATACCAGGACTAAACCGCCATATTGTCTCTAAGTGATTGAAGAGTTTACCATCCGAACACACCGCCTGAAATGGGATGAAATGTAATCAGTCATGAATTCTTACTTTGTGTTTCAGTGATGTAAAGCACACACACGATGACTTACTTTGACGAGATGTGGACGGACGTGGCTTATCATAGAAGTGTATCGTTCAACAACCGGAGGGAAGCCCACTTCCAGCTGGGCTTTGGCGTGACCGGCCCTTTTCATGATGGTTTGGGACTTTTTACACCATGGTACAAAGTGTTTGTAGTCATCCACATTGGCTACCACGTCATACATTTCTTGCATCGAGAACCTAAAGACCAAAACACAGGTAAATCTTTCCAATTTCAAAATTAAAGGGATAGTCAAAATCTATAAAAATCTACACAATCACTAAAACTGAAAATTTTAAAATAAAACTCATTTAAAACATTAAAAATGCTGTAAATAACACTAAAATAATACTGCAAATAAACACACAAAATAAACACAGATGAAAATTATATAAATGTGTATTGTTTTTATAGTATGTTTGTATTGTAATTTATTCTTATTGGTAGAACTACTTATTTTATTCAGTCATATTTTCTTTCTGTATATTTATGTCCCTGACTGTATTAGATCTATGTTTACAGCTGCCCTGCCTCCACTAGATCAATATAACACCACAAAAGCTTGCCTTCATCCTCCATAAAAAAGAAGAAGGGGTTGTTGTTCAGGATCAGACACTGGACCTAGTTAGGGAAGGGTAGAAGTCAACTTACCCTAGTATTCTCCTCTCTGAATACTCTTTTCTCTTTTTGGTGAGGCTGATGAAAGATCTCCTGTGAGGAGTAGGAGTCAAATCCACTTCAGAGAGACAGAGTGTGCGAGGGTAGCGAGTCATCAGGATCCCGCAGGAGGACAGGTGTCTGACAAAGAGGACAAATGAGACACAAGATTGTGTTAAATATAGTGCATGCTGGGCTTATACCCAGGGCTTGACATTAACACCGGCCAACCCGCCAAATGCGGGTGGACTTCACTGCTACTGGCCACTTTGGAGGGTTGAATTTTATATAATAAATACATTTTTCAATTATAATCTTTTAAAAAGGCATCTGAAAAAATAAACTGAGTGCAATGTAGTGTTGTCAAAAATATTCTGAAACGCTTCCAATACTCATTTTCCGCAGAATAGAGGCAAGATACCAGTTGCGCTTTCTCTCTCTCTCATCTCTCCGACAGCGAGTGACACACAAACCGCCTCACCTCACTCACTCGTTTCTTTTGCTCCAGATGAATATTGTTGGCGTTACAGGGCTTGAATAGGCTTTATGCACAGCTTCACTACTTCCTGTACTTCAGCCAGCTCCTTTGTTTCCTGTCTGCCATTATTGGACAAACTGATTAATCCAGGTGTGCCTGATTATTGTTACTGAGGCCAGGCACACCTGGATTAATCAGTTTGTCCAATAATGGCAGACAGGAAACAAAGGGGCTGGCTGAAGTTCAGGAAGTAGTGCAGCTGTGCATAAAGCCAATTTCGGAGTGGGATTGCGCATAATTTTACAAATTTCCCACAGATTTTGTGCTCACACCCAGAGCCAGAGAGAAAGAGTTGCGACACTCTTTGATGTCGCCGCGACGGCTGTCACGTGGTTCATGTAAGCCCCATTTAGTTCCAAAACGTACGCGGGCTGTCATGTTCTTCTATGGACAGACAGCAGCGATTGCATTATTAAACGGTAAATATAAAATAAAACACACACCCAAGTACTTTTTAAGCTGTTATTGCGTTTTGTTAATGTCAGTTTTGCATTTGGAGTGGCAGGGTGACAACTTAGATAAGTTTTAGGCTTTATTTTTGGAGGGAAACGCTAGTGTTCATGTTCGCATGGGTAGTAATAGCACTGGCTTTAGCGGCTCTAACTTAACTTTTCCATGTCATTCATCTGATGATGGACGTCTCATGATATTTATTTTAGCACAACTGGGCTGTATTAGGCTATTGATTCCCGTGATCTTGCTTATAAATTCCACTTCGTGATCACGCAAAGAGGTCTGCGGTGCGTTCAGAATTCCAACCAACATAAAATATAAATAATTACGCTGTGCATGTACAAATGAATGATTTAGGAGGGAATAGACTGCTCCCATAACGTAGAAAGCAACGACTATATACAGCAATGTTCGGTAAATATTCAACCGAAAAATATTCTTCATAAAATTAAACCGGAGAGATAGTTAATGAGTGAATTAACTATGTTCCTAAATACATATAAGCACATGCATAGCCCTAACCCATTTAAATAAATGAATTGTGTGTGTGTGTGTGTGTGTGTGTAATATTATATATAGGCTATATATATATATATATATATATATATATATATATATATATATATACACACACACATATAAAATATTATTAAAAATATTATATATTATATACATCAGGTTACCAGTTAGCTAACGTTAGTGAAGTGTTGGTCACGTAAGCTATCGCTGCAATTAACCTATTATCTTCCAATAAACATTTACTAAAACTGGCTACATAAAATATAACTACAGACTAGATTCACGAGAGGTCGGCTAATGTGCGTAAAAGTAAAAAAAAATACAGTAATTTCATTCATTTACCAGCGAACGTACTTCTGAAGCACTGAAAATGAATGGGGTTCAATGGGGGAACTATCAGTGTTTGGAACTATCGGCTGCTCCACGACACGCGTTACTTCCGCATTCCAAAGTTCCTATGGCGGTCTATGGGAGTGTCGCAACTCTCTCTCTCTATGGCTCTGCTCACACCCAAAGTGCGCGCAGATAAAGCCGCCTCTCAGTACTAAAATTTGTTCTTTTTCACTGCTTATTGCGCTTAAACAGTCCAATACACACACAAAATAATTTCAAAATGCAGGCCTTGTTTTAAGTGAACGTAAACAGTTGAGAAATAAACCGTGTAACAGTATAATGGCTCTGTGTGTCAGGTCTTAAAGTGACAGCAGCCTAATATACCTGCTGCCAAACTATAAAATAATTAAAAAAAATTCTATATGGCAGTTTTCCCCCATGGTATCGATGTCAAAATTGTGGCCAGTGAAAATGCTGAGTGGCTAGTAACTTTGGAAAACCACTAGCCACAGTGGCTGCTGAGCATAAAAGTTAACGTCAAGCCTTGGTTATAGTATTATGATTAGTATATTCATGGAACTACCATGATGACACATGTCTACAAACCATGCTTCAAAAATTTTTATTTGCAGTCAGTCACATTACACAATATAAGAGCATTCCCCCAACCATGGTAAGATTACAAGTATAAGAATACATTTCTTTAAGAATCTTTGTCATTTTATTTATTCTTTATTGTTTTAATAATCATGGCAAATAAGTTCTCACTGTGTTTTTCTTAACTTTAGTGCCTAATTATTAAGGTTCTGAAAACTATGGTACACACAGGCCACACATACAGTAGTGTAAAATAGGGGTAAAATGTTCACCATAAAAATAAATAACAAAGCTTTTTATACTGACATCCCAACATAATTACGATTCTGCGGCAACAACTAACAATTCTAATAGTGTTTTATCGGAAATTTTACCATGGTAATTTTGTGGGGGAGGTGTTTCCCATCTCGTTTTGTTCAGCGATGTGACACACCAATGGTTCAATAAAAGCCTCTTTTGTGGTGTGTATATAATATTTGTATGTTTATAACATATATTCTATAATTTAAACCGGACTGATGAAAAGTGCGTGCGGTATTTTACCTTATGGACCAGTGCTGTATTCTCTCTCTGCATCTAAACGGGCTGCTGGAGCGACACGGACCGACAGTCGCTATTTCCAGAAACTCACTGAATGTCCGAACACCCATCGGGATCCGCCGGGCGCCTCCTGACACGGCCATCAATAAAATAGCGTGACCTTTCAAATTAGTGTAAAATTATGCCGACTAATCTTGAATAACACGATTAACACAGTAATAAACAAACGGGCGCTGTCATCTCTAGTTGAGTTGGCTTTTTTAGTGACCAAATCCCCGCTGAGCGCTGGTTGCAAGTATCATATTTCGACTTCAAGATAATCATCTACTGAAACAATAGTCCTTTATCCTACGATTCCTCCGAAACCGATTGAGGTTAAACCGGTGAAGCCTTCATAAGCTGCCGGTGTGTGGAACACACTGTTCTGATGTATGACCGTGCGGACAGGTGCAGCTGCCGCCAACTGGACCGGAGGAGGACAGAATGTCACATAAAAACAAAAATATTATAATTTCAATTCTAAACTCTGTTTAAATCATATTATTAAATTATATATGTATATAAAAACCCATGACATTGACGAACAGATATTAATAATCGTAATAAACAAGGGGGTGTAGTAGTTTCATTCCAACTCACCAGGGGACGATGTTGTGCGGTTTGAACACATTTCATAATAAAAGTCTGCTACTTGCGTTCTCTTCACATTCATACAAATATAAATGTTACTGTTTAAAAACTTAAAATTATAGACTGTTATAGGGATTATTAATGATATATGTAGATAAAAACCCATGACATTAACGAACTGATATTAATAATCGTAATAAAAAGGGGTGTCATGTCATTTCATTCCAACTCACTAGGGGACGATGTTATTTCATAATAAAAGTCTGCCACTTGCGTTCTTATTTGATTTATAAAAATAAAAAAATAGAAATGTTACTCCTTAAAACTTATAAATATAAACTATTATAGTGTTTATTGATTTTTGAATTAGTTTTGTATTTGTATGTTTTATTTTAATATAAGTTTCTGTTTTAGTCATTTTGTTATGTGCTTTTTGGCACTTTTTTTATTTCAGTTTTAGTAGTTTATGTTTTTAAACTAATACTTGCATTTGTATTTATATTTATATTATAATTAAATGAACAAAAACGATTTTTATAATTTTAGGTAATAACAGCACTGTTGAGCACTTGATAAATGCACTTATAATAATTTATAATCAAACGTGTAAGCCATTTCTAAATTGTTATAAGAAAGTCATTTCTTGGGTCATATTGAATTTATTTTATTAAAACTGTGATAATAAATCGGAGTAGCGCATGTGAAACTCGTTCATTTGGGATGATGGGAGTTGTAGTTCTTAAAACTGCCCGAACTAGTTCGGTAGAAGTGCATGGTAGTTGATCTGAAAGTCCGTTTGGGTCTAACCTCAAAACTTCGTGCATTTGGCGTTCATGAACGCAAAAACCTCTGCTGTAATGTCCACACAGAGGGGCGAGAAAAACATTTTGAGTGATACAAAGTCCTCGAGTGGGTGAGTTTGAATGTCAGCAGCGTAGCAAGACAGCTAGTAAACTCTTCCTGTGTCAGTGTTGCTTTAATGCTCCATGTAGTTTACCTAAGTGTCTACATTATATAGCTAAGCATATCCGTTTGTTTCACTATTTTTGATCGTTTTTTCCTAGTCAAGTATGTAAACCTGTTCTTGCAATGCAATTTAAAAACTTGTATACTAATTTATTCCAGCAACCATTACTCCAGTCTTCAGTGTCACATGATCCTTCAGAAATCATTCTAATATGCTGATTTGGTCCTCAGTTATTATCAATTATTATTGGTGCTCAATTATTAATAATGGTTCGTATTATTATCACTGTTGAATATAGATTTTGCTAATTGATATTTTGGTGGAAACTGATATATTTTTTCAGGATTCTCTGATGAATAGGAAGTTCATTGAACAGAATTAATTTGAAATATAAATTGGATGATCCTTTATACATGACGGTTTATTTTAATTCATATATTATGTCTTTGCTGAATAAAATTATGTTTTGTTTTTTTTAATCTTCAAACTTTTGAATGATAGTGTCACTAAACAGTTATTTTAAATTGTGGTAATATTTCACAATATTACTATTTTTACTTTATTTTTGATTAAATAAATACAGCCTTGGTGAGCCTTCTTACAAAAACACTAAAAAATTCAAATGGAAATTAAATGATTTGTGACTGAATGCCATTAATTCAATTTATTTTTTTTGTGTGGTATTTTCATACAGGAATATGGATTCTGTACGCTGCAACTGGAATGGGGCAAAAGGGGACCAGATATCCACTAGGTCCAAACCCATGTCAGACACTTTATCCAAACTGGCTCAATTGATCACTTGCATGGAGTATAAACCAAAACCTCAGACGTCTTCCTCCATCCGCAAGGACTGCGGCCACGAATTCTCGGAACTGAACGACCTTGTGCATCACCAGGAAAAAGAGCTTGCCCTACAAAAGCTCCATTGCTGTCAACGGTGTGGCCAAAAGTTTGCTTTGCTCTCTAGTTTGCAGCTACACAAGTGCCCTGGTTCCTCATCTATGTGCCAGACGTGCAGAGGGAAACCTACAAGGAGTTCTTCGTGCCCTTCCTGCGGGAGCGAACCTTCAGGCCCACATCGCCCGGAAGATCCCTTCAGTCAAGACAACAGCCCCTACGCGTGCGCCCCATGCGGACAAGCCTTCAGCCACAAGCAAGAGCTGCTGCACCACCAGCAGGCCGGAGGCTGTCAGCCCGCAAAAACTCTCAAACCGCCCTTGCCACCGTCTCCGAGCGCCAGCGCGTCTCTTTCTGCTTGCACTGTGTGTTCCAGAACGTTCCGTTCTTCTGCTGGACTCGCCTGCCACATGCGCTTTTCCCCCGCACATACGAAAAGCAGCGTGAAGACGACGTTCCCATGCCGCACCTGTGACAAATCGTTTCCTAAAACATCACTGCTCCTCCAACACAGGAAAGAGGAACACCTTCGCAGCAGGAAGAAGAAGAAGAAGAAAGTTCTCTCAAGTAAGTTGTTTCCATGCCGTTCCTGTGACAAATCCTTTCCTAAGACATCACTGCTCCACCGGCACAGGAAAGAGGAACACCGTCGTGAAATAAAGGAGAAAGCTCTGAGGAAGGAGAACTCTGAGAAAGCTCCCAGGCGAAGGCGGAAAGGTGAGACGTATCCGTGCCTTGGCTGCGGGAAAGAGTTCCTGCACCATCTGACGCGCTGGGCGCATTTCAAACACTGCGCCTCTCCCCGTGCTGACGCAGCTCGGTGTGACCCGAAGGGTGCAAAGGATCTCAGACCTTCCCAAGAAAATCGACCAAGGAGAGGTAGGCCGAGGACCAAAAATCTGACGGAAACCAAGCAAGAGGAAGAAGTGGAAAGGAATGAGCAGGATGAAGACGAGGATGGCGAGTATCCTTGTACGTCTTGCGATCAGGTCTTTAGCTCTAAAGCTGCGCTGCATGCGCATGAGGAAGTCCACGAGGAAGTGCCTGAAGGAGTTCATCAACCAGCCGACACGTGCAGGTGTTGTAGTGTGTGCGCAGGTGGGATTCCCCTCTCGCAGATTCCAGAAGATTGTGAAAAGAAAGTCTATCACTGTGTGCCATGTGCCGAGGCCTTCATAGCCCTGGACACTTTTCTAGAGCACTGCCAGAAACATCTGATACGTGAGAATCAAGATGAATTCAGTGATGACTGAAAGAGCTTCCTTAAAAAAAAAAAAGAAAAAAAAAAGGAATTGTTCACTCAAAAAACAAGACATATTTTCTCACCTTCATTTTTTTCTCACATAACTTTTTTTTTTTTAAACCACTACATAAAGTTAGATAAAAGCACTATTAAAGTGCTCCAAAAACTATTGAAAATAAGTGTTGTTGTTTTTTTGCATGTGTGTGCATTTCAAATAAAAAGCTAAAAGAATATGGGTTTTTATGAGATGAAGGTGAATAAATAATTACACATTTTTAATTCTTGGGTGAGCTGATCCTTTAAAGAGATAGTCGACCTAATGATGAAAATTCTGTCATCATTTACTCACCCTCATGTTGATCGAAACCTGTATGACTTTCTTTCTGCTGCTTAACACAAAAAAAGATGTTTAGCAGAATGTTGATAACCAGACAGTTTTGGTTTCCCATCGACCTCCATTGTTTTTTTTTGTGTATACAGTAGAAGTCAGTGGGAACCAAAGTTGTTTATTCACCAACATTCTTCAAAATATGTTTGGAAAGACATGTGGTTGAGTAATTGATGACAGAATTGTCATTTTTGGGTGTACTGTCTCTTTAAGGGCAGGGAAATCTCTTCTGCAGACTTCTATCAGGAATTACATTCATCAGGCATTTTTGATTTGGGTAAATATTATCAGTATTGTACAGATTTTGATTTCTGTAGTTCGTGAGGTATAATGTTGTAACAGGATAACGCACTCCCGCTACATTGAGCCAAACTGCCTGACAAATAACAGAGGCCTTCGATAATAATGACAAGCCTATATTATTTTGTCAGATACGGGTACTCAATTAAAACCACTTCTACTCGCAGCATAGGATAGGATTCTGCTCTAGGATACATTTTTTTCCCATACTTTCACACATACCTTGAAGACATATATCCATTATGTTACTGTGAGAATATGGGGATTTGATTTTTTTTTTTACGCATACAGCACTTCTGTTTTCTAAATGGCCAGTGCCTTTGCTGAAACATAAAATCAGCTAAATGAATGTCCTTGTTGTGTTCTGTCAAGTTGGGGGACATAATATCTGTGAGATTTGTCTACTGAAGTTTTGCGGCCTGTTTTGTTATATTGCATTCTACTCAAGCATTGTGAAATTTCTGTTTGTATTTAGTCAAGGAAGCAAAGTAAGCTTTATTCTTATAACATTTTATAGTCAAAATATATCACAGTCTGAGAATTTGTATTTCAAAGTCAGAGGTTTGCTGCTGAACGTTGTGCATAGTCTAACATGTTAAGGTGTAGAATTACATTAAAGATATTAACCTGTTTTACATACATGATATTTTATGCTATCAGGCCAAATATTGCAAGTAGCCTATAACTTAATTACTTTCTTTCTGTCTCATTAGATGAATAATGCTAAGGAAAAAGCTAATTTTACTGCAGTTTTGTTTAATTTCTTTATCAGGGGGTCTTAATCTTCATTTGTTTTATGTAACACTTCTAAAAATTTTTCTTCCTGACAGCAAATGGGCCGCAGTGTTTTTTGTCAAGCTTTTTTTTTTTTTGCACAGACCATTGTTGTTGTTTTTTGTCTTTAAACACTGTATCAAGTCCACTTTATGGCTCACATTGTACATGATGAGTGCAAATATATATATATTTTCCTTCAAATCTTTAATTATAAATATAGACTGGAGGCATTTTGAATTTAGTTCTCTACATTAATCTCTGTGTGTGTTTACTAGCAGCTACCTCCAGTATCACCTGCTTTGTCCCAAGCCAAGATGTGTGAGGGTTTAATTTTCAGAAAATGTACCTCATCACATTGAAATTGTTTTTGAATAAATTTTTTTAAAACGTTTGGTAGTTGTTGTTGTTATTTTTGTCGCTTTTAAAACATGACAAATAGTACAAACGAAAGACAGCATTAAAAATAATGTTATTGAAGTTCGTCCTCCGCTACAGTAGGGGGCGAAATCGCACACGGTGACTGGTCTAGAAAATCCCGCGACCTCGTACGACACTTCCTGCACTTCAGGCATTCTTTTATCCGCTGAATGAAACGTGTTTCAAACGTTTTTGTTTCACAAAAGTATTAGATCTAACTAAATAAACATGAGCAAAGCACATCCACCTGAGCTGAAGAAGTAAGTATTTCAAGCCTTTGTGTGAATGGAATCATAAGCGTCTTAGAAAGCACGATAGATTTTAGCACTGCGTTATTCTACTGTTTTAGCCAGTGTGTCTGCAGTTATTTTCGAAAACAGCATTATTCTCATTTAATGCACAGATATATTGTCCAGTATCTGTAGTGTATTGGCATTGTATCTGTAGTTTTGTATTATGGTTTAAATACAATACTTGTTTTGTTCTTTCCTTTTAAGATTTATGGACAAGAAGCTTTCGCGTGAGTATAATGCTTGTTTTTTCCCCTCACAAATTATTATCCATGTACATTACATGATCATCTATGTATTAAACTACACAATATCTGTGTTCAGAATCACTGTCTAATGGCTTTTATTCAAATGTGCATTTCTTATGTGGTGATGATGTGTTTGTGTACACTTCCAGTGAAGCTCAACGGTGGTCGTCATGTTCAGGGCATCTTGCGTGGATTTGATCCCTTCATGAATCTGGTCGTTGATGACACTATAGAAATGGCTACAGGAGGACAAATGAACACCATTGGGATGGTGGTACGTACTCAATACCACAATCTATTACAGAACTCATTTTGGAAACATAACTTGCTGACATAAGTATAGAAATAATGCACCATGTTTAGTAGAGGTGTGAATATTCCCTTGCCTCATAATTCGATGTGATTATGATTTAGAGGGTAAAGATTTGATTCTAAAATGATTCTAGGTGCACCACAATGCATCTTTTCCTCCAATTCTTTTAGTAATATTAATTAATATATTAAATATCACAATATGGTTCTTTTATCTTTTGTTAGTAAAAAGAATCACTGCATAGTCTTAAGTGTATAAAGTAAAAATGGATTATTAAAGCTACAAAAGTTATTCAGTCAAAGGCGTTGAGTGATTCCCTCTTTTGTTGTTTGAATCAGATTTTCCATTTGCTTAAGACATAACTGACTGTTTACGTGAATACATTACAGACAGATATTTTGAAATATTTGTGTGCATCTGCCATTTAACTGTTTAAGCGCAAAACACTGCTTAAGAGAGAGGCATCATTCTGTGTGCACATTTTGTGTGTGTGTGTGTTAGTCAGCTTGCGCTTATTGTTTCAGCACTGGTCGTTCACACTTCAGATTTGAAAAAGACTCAACAAAAGGATGCGCAAAGCTGGAAAAATGGGAATGTAGAGGGTGGGAAGAAGGCAGACAACAACCAATAAAACAGACCTACAACACTCATTATACAGGCAAATGAATATTAAAATATGGGTGGAGTATTAAAAGTATTTAAAAAAAAAAACATGACACCAAACTCACAAAAAGCTTAATATTAGAGACTTTTAACAACTATCATGAACAAATCAAATATGTTTTGATAAATTATTCTTAGAAATATCAACAAATCAGTATTAAATATTATAGCTTTGCAGAGCTGACGGTCCATATGAAAAATGGGGAAGAAATAAGGTCTAATAATATTTTCATTACGTTTACGAAGCACTTCAATCCCTGAACAAATGACACAGCTCAGTTTAATGCAGAAAGAATAAAGGCATAGGTACTTTTTTGTCCATTCTTATTTGAATTTTCAGTCTACTTCTGTGCATCTACTACTGTGTATCAGAATAATTCATCACCCTGTCATCCCGTTCATAACCAGACGTATCACTGTCCTTATTTGCACACATTTATTTCATTTTAAGACATGATGAAATTTAGTGGTGCACGATATATCGGCCGCCGATATAATATCGGCCGATATGGTCAATTTTTTACACATCGGTATCGTTCCGATGTTAAAATAGGGCAGATGTGAACAGGCCGATAATCATGTCCTGTCTATTTGACGTGTGTGTGGATGTGAGTGCGGGGGCGGGGGATGTTTGTTTTTGCGATGAGCGCATGTACGAGCGCAAGTCCTGTCAGTTTAAACATCAAGCGCAAGAAGACTGGAACTTGCGCGCTGTTTTCTGTCAGCCTTACTAAGGCGTAGTTTTGTACCGCCAAAGCCTTATTTGACCGGTGAGTGATGTAGATGACTGACTGCTGCGGCTTGTTTAACTGAGAGAACGAGCAGAGAGAGTGAAAGCCCGGTCCCGCGCTCTCTCCTCTCTCTCTCTCTCTCTCTCTCTCTCTCTCTCTCTCATCTCTCTCTCTCTCTCTCTCTCTCTCTCTCTCTCTCTCTCTCATCTCTCTCTCTCTCATCTCTCTCCTCTCTCTCTACTCTCTCTCTCTCTCTCTCTCTCTCTCTCTCTCTCTCTCGTCTCTCTCTCTCTCATCTCTCTCTCTCTCTCTCTCTCCTCTCTCTCTCTCTCTCTCTCTCTCTCTCTCTCTCTCTCTCTCTCCTCTCTCTCTCTCTCTCTCTCTCATATTAATGAATTGAGTTGACTGAATATCTTTGAGAATGCAACGATGGTAAAAGGTCGGAAGACCGTTTTTTTTTTTTTTTTTTCTGAACTACCACTGGTTGTGAATTGTGCTAAAATAACGTTGCCTTATCTTCTCTGAAAAGCTTTCCACACATTCAGATGACAAACCACACTTTCAATAAACTATCTAGTGATGAAATGTTTTCTGTGTTGAGACAAATCTTGTGCGATGTCCTAAACTGCCGGATAATCACACAACGTGTGTGCCGTGGTCCGTTAATGACACGTCCGATTCGCGAACTAATGACTCCTTTGAACCGATTCACTTTAATGAATGGTTAAAACAACTGATCTGTCCAACACTGAAGTCAAGAGACATAAATCGGAAACACTTTACAATAAGGTTCCATTTATTAAAGTGTAGTTAACTACATTAGTTAACATTCTATTAATATTAGTTTCTATGCGGATTTACTCCATGACAAAACCGCCCCAGTCATTCTAGAACAGGGGTCACCAACACGGTGCCCGCGGGCACCAGGTCGCCCCCAGGGACCACATGAGTCGCCCGCAGGCCTGGTCTAAAAATAGCACAACTCAGTAGTGAGCTGCGTCTGAAATGTAATTGTATTCTGTTGATATTCTTTTCAATCACACCTGTTGCATTTATATAGCATATATTTATATATTTATATTTAAAAATGACAATATCTTCTGTTCATTATACATGAGTTTAGATAAGTTTAGGTGAACTCTGACTTACTCTAGTTCAGGGGTCCAAACGTCGCTCGCGAGCTACCAGTAACGTTAGCTCGTGGCCTGATTGGAGGTTGCTCGTCAAGGAGCCGTTCACATATCGAGTCTTTTGCGTCCTCACTCAGTTCGTTATTTCAAATGTAGGTGCGAGGCAAGCGCGCTCATAATTAAAGCGACGCGCTATTTTTTTCCAGGTGCAGCGAGATGAAAAAAATGCAACTATTCAGTATGGCCGCAAACGTACCGCAGGTCAACCATCAGCTTCACCCTTTCCATAACAACATTGAAAGCTCAGTCAACATGAAGGATGGGGGTGCACCCAAACTACTACGGGTGTTTTTCTCTTCTCCGTAAATAAATCTTGTAGCAGAGCTACAGCAAGTGTTTTTCGGTGGTGAAATCTATTAGCTACTAAAACTTCTTTGTCATTGTGGAGAGCGCAGTGCATGGTTGCATAGCAACGACAGACGCCACGGGAAAATCAGATCGAATTTTACTCTTAATAATAAAAGATAAGCTAATGTGCATTGTAAAAGTCAGTAATTTATCTTTTTTGGCTCATTCTTTTTATAAAAATGATTTAAAGGCTGAAATATGTGAGGTTTATATTTTTATAAAACATTTTTTGTCAAAACTTATTTGAACTTGTACATACTTGTACAGTAGGCTAGATAACATGTTGCAAGACACTCCTTTAAAATCTAGCCATAATTTTTAATGTTATTATTTTAATGTTTATGTAAACAAAAAGTGCATATTGATGCGGATTTATTTGTTATTTGCTGGTTTTCGACATACAACTTAGTGAATTGATTTCATTGTGTAGTATTAGTACTTTTTGAACAGGATTCTGTGATTACCGTGATCATTTTGGTCACTAATGAAATTAAATTATCATGCCATTTCATATCTAGTCATGATGAACTATAAAATCAACTATAATTATGTGTTTTTACAATATAATATGCAAAGTACAATTTTCTATAAAAAAAATAATCTCTGATTCTGTTCTTTTCTCTGACATTTAAGGGTGACATAGGCATACAAAAACCCTTTTAGGTATAAAATAGTTTAGATAGTTGTTAATATGCAAGTTATGAGACATTATTTCAGAGATTTAAGTATTGTATTACATGAGTAGCTCTCGGCCACTTTCATTTTTAAAAAGTAGCTCTCAAATGAAAAAAGGTTGGAGACCCCTGTTCTAGAATGATTCATTCTTTCCAAATAGGACTATTGAAGTCATCTGGTGAAATTGTTTTTTATATGGCAATATATATCGCAGAAAAATAAAATACCGCAATGTCATTTTTTACCAATATCTTGCAGCCCTAATCCTCGCTATGTGTTTTCTATACAGACATCGGTAAATATCGGTATCGGCCATAACAGCAATATTGTTATCGGTATCGGCCACAATTTTCACATCGGTGCATCACTAATGAAATTTGTGCGCATATACGGTGATCTTTAATCACTTTTTAAAAGCAAGCATCTCCTGCACTTTATTTTCTCATTCATTCATGCTCTTTTGTGTAAAAACTGGATTGTAGGGGTGGTGAAAAAAATCGATTATTGATTAATCGCGAGTATGTTATGGACGAGTATGAATCGATTATTACATTTTCAAAAATCGATTTTTTATTATAAAAAATAAATAAAAATTGCATTATTTTATTTTGTAAAAAATTTAATACCGGAAGTTGAACGTCACGAACGCGCCCAGTTCCAGTTAGCAAGCGCGTGTAACGGCAGCCAGAGCGAGTGAGAGCAGGTGTGCCGGAGACACACTGGCTGCGTGGCGGCGTCTCAGCTGCGTGGTGTGTCCGTTTTTATTTCGGCTCCCATGTTAACAGGTTAGAGCTTGCACAGTGCACACTGCCTGCATGAGCCGTGCGGAAAAGAAATAGAAATAGAACCGACGCCTATTTTTCACGCGACACGCAAGCGTGTTGGAAGCGTTTCCAGGCAAAATAGAATAGGAAACGATGTTTATATGTCATTTTGTACACGAATACATATTAATAAATTACATTTTGATGTTTGAAAGTCTAGGTTTTGATATAAATTCAGATATCAATGTAATTTAAACAAATAATAATAATAATTATCGATTTTCAAATATTGCCATTATTTTTGCCTATATACAAATTTGTCATTTTTATTTTTTAAACAATCGAGTCCTGGTGTTCACTACAGAGGTCATAGCATAACATATGAATAAAATATCTCTTTTTTTTTTTCATTTGTTTCTTATGCTCTTAACAATGTTATTACATGAAGAAGAAAAAAAACTTTTGAAAAAAACGTTCTGGGCCTCAGGAGGATATAAAGATAATAGGCTACAATAACAACATAGTGTGTCTTCTGAGTGACGGTCCACCATCAGGCTAAATATAGGCTCTTTAAAGCTACACAAAATTTGTAAATGTTATTGAAATAAACAGACAGCCCACTTCCCTATTTTTCGGATTTTGGAAGATGTGTGATAACAGTTGAAATTGTTGTCGTAAAGGCAAGAGGCAAGAGTTGAAATTGTTGTAGTAAGGATTAACACACCGCTAACCCAAATGTAGACTGTCCCTCTATGTCACCTAGCAGCAGCGGCGCCGCGTCAGACACGTTTCTGGTGTGCAAAGACACAGAAAATGCGACGCAGCTGACACGCAACAGAAACGCCACGCTCACGCCACGCAGCCAGTGTGTCGTGTATAACTACACGACACAGAAAGTGCTTTGAGTTGTTGTTACTCAATAAAAGAGTTAAGTAATTCAGCAGCTGATTTTTTTAATACTGCAAACACTTTGTGGTGTATTTTCGTTTACTGTTGTGAAATGGAAAATCAATAATCGCTAATCGAGAATCGTTAATAATCGAAAATCGACTGTAATCGAATCGGGACTTCAATAATCGTAATCGAATCGAATCGGGAAATCAGACAGATTAACCACCCCTACTGGATTGTGCCTGAATATCTGCTTTCAAAAAGTTAGACGCATTAACTACGAAAATCAGATACAAGTGCTTTGCTTCAGAAGGACCTTTGTGCAACCTTTTATTAATATATAATGAGAGTACTTTATTTACAGTAAAACAGTACACTAATATGCACGATAGGCCTATTTAATTACATTACAAAAATGTATGCATCAATGCAGAATCGGGTCACGTCAGTGTAACTGTCGTAGGCTAGTAAGAGCTGCGCATGTAAACCTCACTCTCCTGATCTCAGAGGCGCTCTAGCGAGTAACGCTAGGGGTTGCGGTCTTTAGCCTCCTTGTTAGAGCACCCGCCTCCAATGCTGGAGACTATGGTTCGAATCCCGCTCGGAGTGTGTTGAGTAGAACCAGTTACATCAGCATACATGGTGCATCATAAAAACATTTATGTTCCACTGCTCTAATGTTTAGGTTTTAGTCCTATTGTTACATTTACATTATGGATTTTAAATGTATCACACAGCTGGATTTCAGATTTCTTTCTTTCTTCCAGTAGCTTCAGCTTAAGAGTGTTCTTATCTGTGCAGTGATGAATGATCTCCTGTTTCTGTTTTGGTGTTTCTTTAGGTAATCAGAGGAAACAGTATAATCATGTTGGAGGCTCTTGAACGAGTATGAGGAAGAAGACAGCTTTTCCCTGCTTCTCTGTATTTTTTTTTTTTTTTTTCATCCAGCCAGCAAATATCAAAATGGGTTTCTCATGTCGGTTTACAACAAAGACTGATTAATAATGCAGAAATCCTTGGTTGTTAAAATTCTGTTTTATATAAACATCCTTTTTTTGTTTTTATAAATTGCCTTGTGTCTGTAGAAATGTGTGTACACAATTCATAAAACATTTTTTGTGAATAAATGGACTACAATTTGATTATCCCTTTGTATTTATATTTGATTGGTGTAATATTCAACAGTGTTTTTCAGTGTCAACTTTTTTTCACCGTCTCAGTAACTTTATGGTTTTGAAGCCATTCAATAATCTTGATTTGTGAGTTCAAATGGTATAAAAATGTGTCAAACTGAGAACTTTACTTAAATAAATTAGTTTAAATGATTCCTTTGTCTAATCTAGCGCTATATTTTTGTTGACCATCATAGGACAGGATAGGATAGAAATAAGTAAATCAGTTTAAAAAATTTAAACTTGTCTTGGATCAAGAAAATAAATGCTGTCTAAAAATATACTATACAGCCGAATAAATGAGAAGAAATATTGTTTAAAAATGAGCTGCTTTGCATATGATTGTGCAAATGTAGTACACGTTAGACTCTAACATATATATCATCTACTATCATTTTCTATGCTCTCTCAATACCTTTTCAGACCTGTGACTTTTTATTTATTTACAAAGCCTCAGAAGCAGGACTTTTATTTTGTAAGAATGTTGACCGGAATAGTCCGTGACGTCACGTGGCTGATGTATGGTATGTAAGCGCATTGAGGCTATGTGGAGAGTAGTGATGTCGGAGGAGGTTGGGAAGAAATTGCAGGCGGTGGTGGACCGGGTGAATCAAGCGGTTTCCCGTCGCCCGAAGGTCAGTTTTCATCGGTTTCTTTTGAGCAAGACATGAAACAACAACAATATCCTTTTGCAAAACCATAAAATCATATTATCTACTCGTGCTCCTCGTGTTGTTATGGTGGTTATGTAATCTGTTCAACCTTTACACACTCGAGCTCCATATAGTAACGAGGAATGATTGACAGCTAATTATGTAGGGAATAATTTATTTTTTTGACCCAATAAATGTAAATATATTGCAGAGTGTTCAGAATGACAGTTTAACATTCGACTAGCGTGTAACTTCTTCCCAAGGAGAAGGACATTTTGTGTGTGTGTGTAAGAATGAATGCATGTTGTTGCATGAAATTCCTGAAGCAGTCACGCTCCAGCAAATGAAATCTGTATGATACGCGTCAATTACATGCACTTTAATGTGTATAACATTATATTACGTTCTTACATCAAAAATGTCACTGCATACACAAGGAGCAAATACATTGACACATGCCAATTTTAAGTCGGATGGTGGTGGTTGATGGTTAAATTAGGATCAAAATCATTATGATGAACAGTTGAGTGAAAGTTGTAGATTATTGTATTAATTTAAGCAAATTCTGTATTTTTGAGTCTATAATTCTGTATATAATCTATATATGTATATTACTAATAATAATTAATGAACTTTTTTAACATTTTACAATAGTACTGCTGAAATCTATTTTTGTATATATTTAAAAAAATATATTATCATCTTTAATTAACATTTAATATATTCAATTTTATAATGCTGTAGACCTATCTAATTATTTAAATATGTAATGCCATTTTTAGCAGAGCATTTATTTTTCAGATTGTAACTATTTATTAATTTAAAGCATTTGACATAGATGGGCAGCATACTTTGCTTTTATATGGTTAAAGCCAAAATTGCACCAAAAATGTAATTCTAGTGGGGCAAATATTGTCCCTAAATACAAAAACGTTATTTCCGACACTGCTCTATTATAAACAAGTGACAGTATTTTACGTTTCTATTCCAGACGTTACCATGTATAGCCCCTCGGCTAGTTGCAGTTAGTAAGACTAAACCACCGGAGATGGTGGTGGAGGCTTACAAACATGGACAACGAAACTTTGGAGAGAATTATGTGAGTAAATAATTAAGTATGCATGCAAGACTGCAATTGCCTATTTTTTCATATGAAATATCCCCTTTTCTGCAGGTAAATGAACTTGTTGAGAAAGCTTCCCATCCCCAGGTATGTAGTCAGGCAAATTTGAATGTATTTGTTGTTTTTGATCATATGTTTTGATCAATCTAAAACTTCTTTGTAGGTTGTCTTGTCATGTCCTGAAATAAAATGGCATTTCATCGGTCATCTGCAAAAGAATAATGTCAACAAACTCCTGGGTGAGCAAAGCAACTCTACTAAAGTCAACTTTAATTTCCATTTAGCTTGACTTAAAAATATGAGTATCATTTACAGCCTAGATTTACAGTTAATCCGTAGTGATTGCATTTACATTTATAGGTTATTTGTTTTTGATTATGATGTAACCCACATTCATTGAATTCAATCACAGGAGTCCCAAACCTGTATATGGTAGAGACGATCGACTCTGTTAAGCTGGCTGAAAAAGTCAACAGCTCGTGGCAAAAAATGAGATCTGCCAATACACAGAGGTTAAAGATTATGGTTCAGATCAACACCAGCGGAGAGGAAAGTGAGTGTTCTGCACCCAAATAATTGTTTGTTTCCTATTAACATCAGCTCTGAAAATGTTAAAAACTCTATTATAGAAATCTGCATGCAGTATTTAGCCTATTTATAATGATTTAATCAAGAATTTTGTGCGATTTTGAGTGTCAGATCTCATACATTTTCATCTTCCATTATTGCTTAAGACATTTTTTTTTAAATGTCACTCAAGCAACTTTCATGTTCATTATTAAAATACACTAGTAAATGTGTTTATATGTCATGAAGTCACGTCTTGAGATGCTTTGTATTTTATTAGATGCTCTTTGTTTGTCAAATTTAGAGATTCACAGTTGGGAGCATCATAGTGGGATCCAGATTTGTTATGAGATGTTGTCAAAAAAGCCGACATCAGAGGTTGTTTGATAATTCACTTTCGGACAGGATGATAGTTGCAGTGTCACAGTGGGCGCATGTCTAACAAAAACACTTAATTATTATGCAATCCTTTCTCAGTGTATCAGATAACTGTTTTTCTGAAACCTCAGCATGATAGTGTCTCTTGGACGTGTTTTATCAGGTAAACATGGCCTGCCACCTGATGAGACTGTAAACATGGTAAAACATGCCGTATCTCAGTGTTCTGCTCTTGACTTCGCCGGGCTCATGACGATCGGCCGTTACGGTTACGACCTCAGCGAAGGCCCCAACCCCGACTTCCAGGTGCGTCAGATCAGCTGGGTCAGATCTCACATACTTTTAACACGCACTACACTCTTAAAAACAAAGGTTCTTTATTGGAATCGGTGGTTCCATGAAGAACCTTTGCATTGCACAAGTTTCTTTAGGAAACCTAAAAATGGTTATTTAATGGCATTGCTGCAAAAAACACCTTTTGTAAACTTTATTTTTAAGAGTGTACCATTCAAAAGTTTTTTTTTAAGTCTCTTCTGCTCAGCAAGGCTGCATTTATTTGATAAAAAAAACAGTAAAAAAAAAAAAAAAACAGTAATATTGTGAAATATTATTATATTTTAAAAATCTGTTTAAAACTTATTTCTGTGATGGCAAAGCTGAATTTTTAGCATTATTCCCCCAGGTCCAGTGTCACATTTTGCTTCAGAAATCATTCTAATATGCTGATTTGGTGCTCAAAAAATATATATTTTTTTGTCATCAATGTTGAAAATATTAATTCTTTGATGAATAGAAAGCTGAATAAAAAGAACCACATATATTTGAAATTGATATTTTTGCAACATTGTAAACGTCTTTACTGTCCCTTTACTATCATTGAATGAAAGTATTAATTTCTTTGCAAAAAAATTGTGGCGTATGAAGTTTATCAGCAAAATCAACTTGATTACGAAAAACAATTTAGCAGCATGCTAAAAGAATGTTACAACATAGTATGCAAAATGTAAATGAATGTGTATGTTGAATGTAGATGCTGTTGAAACATCGTGCTGACGTTTGTGAGGGTCTGAAGATCCCAGTAGAGCAGATTGAACTCAGTATGGGCATGTCTAATGACTTTGAACATGCGGTAGGTGTTGCTTTCTTTCAAAATACTCTTCAGTTGTATGTGCTCGGTGTTAAAGTACCCCTATTATGCTTCTCAGGATATAGTAATGTAGCTGTTAGTGAATGTGAAAGGTCTGCAGAGTTTCAAAGATCAAAGTGCATGATAAATAGAGTTAGTCTCCCAAAAAGAAAGAACCGAGTTTAACTGCCTGAAATGCGTCATCAGTAATTCCAGTCTTAATTCTTGCTCGAAATGACGTAGGTTTGTAATAAATTCGCATAAAGCCAGCCTATGGTCTTTATTGGCTGCCCGCGAACAAGGTCAACTTTGACCCGAAAAGAGCAGTTGTAGATGAGGCTGGAAGAGTTTGGTTCATGGTGTCGACATGACGAGAAGATGCTGTTTTCAGCGCTGCAAATCCACTTTGCATGCACTTCCAAAGGACGAGGACTCAACTGGAAGTGATACAGTAAAACTTACGCGATCGTTACTGTTCGTGTTCGTTATCAAGTGTTGAGGAAGATCCAGAGCTGAAATTCCGATATGGTAATGGTAGTTTCATTTCTGACATGCTCTGCAAACATTAAACCGATCACAACAGACTGGCCCATCTGACCAATCAGAGCAGAGTAGGCTCTTGGAAAGGAGGGGTTTAGAGCAGATGTCTTCAACCCTGCTCCTGGGGACCCACTGTCCTGCAAAGTTTATCTCCAACCCTAATAAAACACACCTAAACCAGAGCAGTGGGTCTCCAGGAGCAGGGTTGAAGAACTTTATTGAACTGTTTCAGACACTGTGAGAAATGAGGTGGTGTGCATTCAAGTTTTTTTACTTGAATGGATGTAAACTTACTGTAGGAGACTTCCAAAACAAAATTATGATCCTTTAAAATAGCATAATGGGGCACATAACTTTATTGCAATTGTTTTTGATCAATTTAATATCCATTTGAAATGTTTCTCCATTTAGATCGAGGTCGGCTCCACCAACATACGTGTCGGCAGCACTATTTTCGGCACTAGAGAATACCCCAACACCCCGAGCCCCAGTCCAGAGAAAAAGCCAAAGGTCGTATGTGAGGAAGCAGCCAAGAAAATGGACCGGCTCACCGTCACGGACCATTGAATGATGTGGACCATTGAACTAAATGTGGGACCTCTTGGGCTTTTTCCCCAATGACTGGGCTCACCATTCACCAGTCAAGGGCCTTTAATATGTCTTAACTAATGCTGCTGACCTGGTCTTCTGTGGCAAAAGAGGTGCAATTTAATAACTGGAATACTAAATTTACTTCCTGAAGGTGTTTTTATTATCTAAAGATCTCTAGAAGTGTCCTCCACCCCTTTGTCAAATTCTTAGCCTTGGTTTTGCGATTATTTTTAGCAGATACAGGGTCAGCACATGCTCAGTTTTGTTGTGTGCCAATTGTAGATGTGAAGTATTATTTCTGACATTTCAGTCAGATTAGACGTTATCAGTTGTAACTCATTTTAACATCCAATTAAAACAATAGGATATATTTTTGTTCCTAGAAGTGTGTAGGTATATTTTATAGTGTGTCTTTTGTTCGAAATCATAAATGTAAATGATATGAATAGCACATTTATGGTATTGCTTCTTTATCCACTTGTTGCTGTGAAAGCTGTCAATGAGATGTGTCGGGACTGCCGTGTGTGTGTGCGTGCGTAGTGTTATGTTATTCATGTAGTAATTCATGTCACCCTAAACACTGGTGTTGAATTTAGCACTGATCAACAGCCAGATTGGTTTCAGTACAGAACATAGGAATGTGCAATGAGATCGGTGCAGAGACGGACTGTTTTATGGAGTTTTGAAGACGCTGAGGGTCTGAGGCAATTTACTATGCAAGAGAGAGATTGTTCTGATTCTTAGATGCTTGTATAGAGGATAATCACATCATTTTTTATTTTGAAATTTTGGATTAATGCGGTGTGTCAAACTAATGGGTTTACTGTTTGTGGTCAGTTGTGAAAAGCCAAAACAGAAATTATAGCATCCTTTTTTTTCTGATAAGTGTGACAAATAACATCTTGTATCTTGTCAATAGATAGTTGAATTGTAGATATTTCATTGATTTAGGTGAGTTGAGCAATAAAATAAGAGAAAATTAAATGGTTTGTTTGGCATATATAGATAACTTAAGTATTTTTTTTTTGTTATTTTATGTATTGTGTGTGCGTAGTGTAGTGTAAAAATCAAACATTTTTTCAAATGTTTTTGAAAAGTCACTCACCGAGGCTGCATTTATTTGATCAAAAATACAGTAAAAACTAATATTGTGAAATATTGTTACACTTTATAACCATTTTCTATTTTAATATATTAATGACATTTATCCCTATGATGGCAAAGCTGAATTTTTAACATTACTCGCATCATGATCCTTCAGAAATCATTCTCATATGCTGATATGCTGCTCAAGAAATATTTTCTTATTATCAATGTTGAAAACGGTGGTGCTGCTTAATACTTTTGTACAAACCGTGATAAACAAGAATGGTCGTGATTCTTTGATATAAAGAAAATTAAAATGAACAGCATTTATTTTGAAACGGAGATCTTTTGTAACATTACAAATGCATTTGCTGTCATGTTTGATCAAATTTATGCATCCTTGCTGAATAAAATATTTATTTAGTTTAAAAAACTCTTACTGACACATACATTTTAAATGGTAGTGTATGTATATTTATATATAGAACAATTTTTTACCCTATCATAAGTGAAATACATTATGCCACTCACTCATGAAGACCAAAAATAATTGTCAATTTAAAACCTTTAATTCAAAAAACATTTAAAACCCAACTAAAATACAAACAAAGACAAGGTTTATGAATGCATGTAAACAATGGTTTTTAACTGAGTACCAAGCATATAGTTAAGTATGTGCATGCACACTGTGTGCACAGATATATAGTTTATTACAAAGCTTGAATGACACATGACTGCGTTAAATAACCTTCAACTTTTCACATTACATGGAGGATTTTGCCATTGTGTGTCATGCAAACCAGCGTTTTTATAAATTGGTACTTGTAAGAAGCCAGTACAAAAATGTCCAAATACCCTATAAACAACATAGTCTTGAAATCGAATAAGAACCCAGAAAACCAAAAGTTTTCATTAAATTACAGACATTCCTGCTCATTGTAGCTACATGAATTATATTTATCAATATATTGGTCAATGCAGTAAATAAATAAAGCATGGAACAGAAGACTTAGAACAACAACAAACACATTTTGTAATTCTCTAAAAGAAAGAAAATCCCTAAAATATGGATTATATGGAAAATATGGAAATATGATACAATCAATTTGTTTGAATCATTTCCCCTCAAGATCATGAACATAAAACCAGTTTGAGTGTGTTTAGAGCAGATAGAACATGAAAATAAAGCCACAAATCTTCAATAGACCTCAATATATACATATTAAAAATGTTTAGAAATGCTTAAATGATTAGCTGGCTTGATTCTTCACATTTATCAGTAATGCAACCTTATAGTCAACAGTAGTTTCCATGCACCCATAATGATCATCACTTTAACATTTTCATATCACACTCTTTAGTAATTTGAACACCATTCTAGACATTTATGATTAATGATAAATGGGTATCGGGTATAGAGCAGAATTAAGGGTTGTTAATATTCTGCATGTTTAAGACTTAATTCAAAGCTCTGCCGAAGATAATGTTGAACCGAACTGAGTTTAAAAAGAAAACATTGAAATGAAGCACTGAGTATTTCCATGCTTGAGAAACCCAACGGCAATGAATGGGTTAGTGTCTTTGAAATGCTTTCTGCTTTTCACACCAGCTTTTTGGCCTCGAAGAAGCTCTTGAGATGTCTCATTTGCCAGATGCCAGTGATGATGAGGATGATGGTCTGAGTGATAGACCACCACAGAACGCGCTGGTTTGTGCTCTCGCTTGTCATACGGAAACGCTCCTCACGATACTATGGAAACACAACTTCTTGTGAGTGCAATACAACCTATATAGATACTGTATGATTTAACATCGACAACTAGATACCAGTGTTATTTTGGTATAATTGAGATACTATTATAGTTTTTATTAGAGGTCATATTATGCACTTTGACAAAGTCTTGATTTTGTTTTTGGGGTCTACTAGAAGGTTTTCATGCTCGAATGTTCAAAAAACACAATTTTCACATATTTGACATTGTTGCAGCACCTCTCTTCTCAGCCTTTCTGTAACGCTCTGTTTAGTTCCGGTCTCTCTGTGAAGCCCCTCCTTCTGAAAAGTGTGCTCGGATTGGTCGGCCGGACCAGTGCGTTGTGATTGGTCAACCGCTTTGCGCGTGTTTCAGAAATGTTACACCCCTTACCATAACTGTGAGATTCAACACACTACTAAAGCAACACAACCAGGCCTCACCCGCTTTTTTTGCGTAGTCGGAAATGATCGCGTTATATTTAAATAGCTTATTTTGTCCGTTAGATCGAAAGATCTGAAAAAGCCCATACATAGACCCTTACCTTGAATAAATCAGTACAGAAGTGGTTGAAAGTGGACAAAAGATACAGATTAAGGGCGTTTTCACACCTGAAAGTCCGGACCAAGGTCCGAACCAAAGTTCACTTTTTGATACATTTGATACTTTCAGAAAGTTTTGGTTGGGTTTCACACTGCAATTATGCGAGCGCACTAAATAAATTTACGTGACACACTTGCGTCATGTCGTCATCATCTATGTGGGCTGCATCTTGACATTGATTGGTTTGTAAATGGACGTGTGTCTGACGTCAGCGTGTTGTCAATTCGGTGGGTAACTTTGACAACATGAATGAACAGACACATATCGTTGCAACTATATTGTTATTTTTATGGCATAATTACCTGCAGCACCAACTATACACAAGGCTAGTTCAAATTCACCAAATGAACGTCCTCGTCGTGAGAACATTTTATCGTCGCCGGCAGGAAAGGAGCAGAAGACTGCAAGCAATCATGCGAGCTCTGGCACCTCCATTTGGGAAGAGACCAAGGTGAACTATTCCGGCTATGCGGGAACCACAGGAACTTCCTGTACAAGGTCTGAAAGTCCGAACCATACAGAAAGTGCTTTCACACTAGAAACGAACCAAACCTTTGTTCAATTTGATCATCCGGACCGAGACTACCTCTTTTCGTCGGACCAAATTTCATCTGTTTGGTCCGGACCATGGTCCGGGGTAGGTTTCACACCTGTAATTTTGATTCGGACCAAACTGAAAAGTCCGGACCAAACAAGGTAGGTGTGAAAGGGCCCTTAAACACCAGGTGTAAATAGGAATGTGTCTACCTCGTCTACTTTTGATACGATTGACCAAAACGCATCTTAATACCAGGTGTAAACAGCCTTAGGCTGTGTTTACACTTGGCATTAACATGCAACCTGTATCTGGATGTTGTCCACATACACATTGAAAAGACAAGTGTAAACGCACTTCTGATCGGAATGTTATCCGATCAGCGTGTCCCGGTTCGGAGGTAGTCGAGGACGCATTGTGATCGGATCTCAGTGTAATGTAAACGCAATCCAGCCAACGTGTCTGCATTCACAGGTGAACGTAATTTAAATCCCCGCCCAGTCTCCCCGCGTGACTGTCAGAGAAAGTAATGGCCAGACGCAGTTTAGACACGAAATTAAACTTATTTGAACAATAAACGTCAATCTTTAAAACATTTTATTTATGTGTGTCATTTTTTATTTTAATTGTGCAACATTATCTGAACGAGGCGATCGCCTGTTCACTCACAGTCAGTCATGATCTTAATGAAGAGCTGCACTTGCCAGAGGAATAATCGGAATAGGAATTTTTTTATGTTTTAAATGTTGAATGTTTTTATTGTTTTAGCATGTTTATCAATCTCCCATTTCTGTCAATATAGTCATTGCACGCAACCTTAAACCCAGATGATCGATGATGTGACTTGTTTAACATGATCAACCCAGTTATTTTTGTAAGATCAACTCTGGAAGTATTCCTTCTTTCAAAAAATATAATTTGATCTAATTAATGGAGATTGCATATGAAAGTAAAGTGAGTGAGTGAAAGCAATTGGGACGTTGTTTAATTTGTATCATCTTTACTATTAATCAGGTGTCGTGCCACAGACCTGATTTAAATATGCGGGAAACAGAAATCCGATCGGTTATCCAGATACAGAGAATGCTTAATGTGAACAAATATAAACACACCATGTCCTGATTGGCTAATGATCCGATCTGCTTCATCGGATCACGGTGATCGCATGTTAATGCCAAGTGTAAACGCAGCCTTAGATACAATACTAAAATCAACAAGACAGATGCCCAAAATAATATTAAACATCTTAAATCTGCTTCCAGCGATTGTGAAAATCTAAGTTTAATTGGCCAGTCAGCCCACAGAATCCTACTGTAACATAAACCAAAACTAGTTTCTGCAGCTGAAACTCACCCGCTGGTAGTTCTGCTCTTTCTGGATCTGTTCCACCTGGTCCAGGAGCTGTCGGACCCTCAGCTGCAGCTCGCTCAGTTTGTCTTTGGCTGCGATCTCGGGGTAGTTGTTGGTGTGCTCACCAACCTGAATCTCCAAGTGGACTCTCTGTAAGACAGCATGGTTTCACATGTTAATGTTCAGTAACTTATACTGTATTATATTGAAATTAATAACTTTCGCATATCTAGAAGTAATCTCAAAACTTGAAAATGATCCATATTTATATTGCATTTGACCAGTGTTGTTATTGTTAAGTAAAACTATTCAAAATCAGTTTCTTAACTGAACCAAAGCTGAAATCAAATAAAATGACTAAAACAGAAATAAAAAAAATTAAAGCTAAATAGAAATATTTAAAAAACAACTATAATATAATATACCATAGTAATAAAAAAAGACGCATAGTATATAAATAATACTAAAATAACACTGCATTTGTCATATAAATATTAACAGATGTAATTTATTAAATATAGAGACTGCACATTGGACAGCTCATTACTCAAAACCATTAATTAAGATTTCAAAATATGAATAATACTATAATAGTATATAGATATAACTAAAATAACGCTGTATTTGACAAGTATTACCGGATGTAATTTATTAAATATAGAAACTGCATCTTGGGCAGCTTATTACTAAATATTAATTAAAAAGTCAAAATATGAATAAATACTATTTTAGTATAAATAATACTAAAATAACAATTTATTTGACATAAATATTACTAGGTGTAAAGTATTAAATATAGAGATTGCATATTGGACAGCTTATTACTCAAAATGAATAAGTAAAATGACAAAATATTAATAAATATAGTTTATTTCACCCTAAAGTTGTTCCAAGCCTGTAAGCATTTCTTTCTTCTGCTGAACACAAAAGAAGATATTTTTGAAGAATGTCGGTAACCAAACAGTAGATGGACCCCATTGACTTCCATAGGATGAAGAAAAAAAAAACTATGGAAGGCAATGGGGTCCATCTACTGTTTGGTTACCGACATTCTTCAAAAATATCTTCTTTTGTGTACAACATTTAAACTGATCTCTATATTTATCTGCTGCTCCATCAGTTTTTAACAGTCGTACCAGTTTTCCTCCAGCAAACAGTGCCATCTTGGTGGAGTTGGAGTGAAGGCAGATCTGATGCTCGCCTGGTGTGTGGGACGTGAAGGTGAAACGTCCATCTGATCCATACTGACGGGACAGAATGATCTGAAACAAACAATGAGAGCATACTGGTATACTGGCATCTGCATTTGTGTAAAGTCGCCAAATATAACCCTATTTATTGTTATATAGCAGACATGTTTGAAATGTAGAGTATAAACAAAGACAGGCTACATTGGTCTCAGGATCCTTGATTTCCACATGCATGCCTAATCCAGGGGTGGACGGGAGAAAAGAGCCAGCCTGTTTGTCCCACAGCTGTGTTCTGTATCTTCCTGGAAAAAACACAAATAAAACCCAACACAGTATGTTCATTTGCGTCACAAAAAAAACCCTGATAAACATAATTATTAGAGGAACAGGATCTTATTAGTATTATTCATTATGCAGTATGGATATTATAGATCAAATATACATGCATTGTCTCCTGTCATTATAACTGTTATTTCTGATTACTGTAAACAAGCGATAAATCCAGGCTGTAGCTCCTGGCAGAAAGGAACTGGTTGCACCTGTATCTCAGGTACCCAAGCAGGATCCTGCACCTGCCACATCCTTGATCATGCTGATCTAACCAAAGCCCTGTTTCATTTGGACAGATGTATGCAGATAATCACATCCATACCTAAAATCTGATTTCATATCAGATGTCTTCAGGTTGAGTGTGTTAAATGAGACAAAAAGTGAATGTTTCTACTGATAAATCCAGATGGATGAATCAGCTAGCCGACAAAGCTAAACGATCACAGAGAGCCGATTTGACAATGGACGTACCGATCACCATGGTTTCATCGGGTATTTCTTCTATAAAACATTTCTTCTCCGTCTCTCCGATGTGGAAATAAAGGGCTTGGCTTGGAGAAAGCCACGCAAATAGAAGCAAAAGCCCGGCACAGGACACCACCGCCTTCATCTCCATCCAAATCACCACTCACTACATCCAGGGCTGAGAATCGATTGCAGAATCACTTGATTCTCAACACGGGCTTTTGTCATGGCTTTTGTTTATTAAAGTGTCCGCCCATGTTCGCGATTTGCATAAAGGTTTATCTGAAGACAGAAACTAAAAATCTTAATTTAATAAGTAATTTAATAAAAAAAAATCTAAATAATTACCAATGACATAATAGATTTTTTTTGGGAATATTTAAATCAACCTCATTTGTTTGCATACTTATTGTTGAATTTCTATGTAAAATACTATTTGAAAAGTAATTTGTACATAAAAAAAAAGAAAATCTTTTAGTATGAACATAAAATCATGCATAACATATAATACGACTATAATTGTTATCATCAACAGCAATAATAATAATAATAATGCATTGATAATAATAAATGTATTTTATGAACGTTTTTAGGCAAGGATGTTTAGACTTTTACTTTGGAATGCAGTTAATTCGAGCATCAACCGGAAGCAGTCCTTCGTTAAATTACCCACAACCGCTTGTGTTTTAGTCGAGAAGTTTCTCGTTTGTTTATTCACTGAATTCAGTAGTTGTCTCGCTTTTTCAGTGTTTTCATTTCTTTTTCTGAGTATCTTGTGAAAGAGTCGCAATGGCGCAGTATAAAGGAGCGGCAAGTGAAGCGGGGAGAGCGATGCAGCTCATGAAGAAGAGAGAAAGAGAGCGAGAACAGCTCGAGCAGCTGAAGCAGAAGATAGCAGAGGCAAGTGAGCCCGAAACCGAATATCAAACAAACAAACATATAAACACACTTGCCATTCAACCTGTCCTCACTATATGCCTCCAATAAATAGATGCAAGCTCAAAAGTGTGTGGAATGTATATAGTATCTATCCAGTTAGTTATAAAGGATATTAACGTTACATCTGGTTTAACCCAGAACATCATGGTTATGCTTATTGACCCTTTTAGACAGTATACAGTCACACGAGAAGGCTTTATGATGTGATGACAGTTTATGTAAAATAATTAGTGTGGTGTATATATATATATATATATATACACCACACTAATTAGGTATAGGCTACTATTTCATGGTGTGTGTGTGTGTGTGTGTACACACACATGATTTTAATAAACTAGTGAATTTTGATTAAATTTATGAAGATTCATACTCTGTGTATATATATATACACACACACATATATACATATACATGTATATACGGACCATTAAATAGTAGCCTAGTACTTGTGTAGTAGGTACGTCAACACAAAAAAAATTCACTTGTTTACTAAAATCACGTGCGTGTAAAATTATATTCATATGTGTTCACATTGTTGTATATATTGTGCCACTTGGACACCCTTTGGACACTTTTTCCACACTTTTTTATTTTAAATCCTATGATTAAAAAGTATGACAATACCATTGTATAGCAAGCAAAATATAATTTATTTTAAAGACACAATTTTAAGCAAGGTTTACATGATAAAACATACTATTTGGGGACCACAGTATTTAATCTACTGATCTTTAAGCATCGTATAACTATAATGATTGTAGAATATTGTTATATACACGATCATTACATCAATCTTTATATGCAGCTCAAATAAACCTACACTGCTCATACTTTATGTAAAAAACATCTCCCCTAACTGAACTTCACCTTCTCCTTTCTAGGACAACATGGTGAAATCCAACATTGATAAAAAGTTCTCCGCTCATTATGACGCTGTGGAGCAAGAGCTTAAGTCCAGCACAGTTGGTAAGTGAGCATTAAAAATGAAAGGACTTGTTATGGTTCTGAAATACTTCTGTAATGTTTTTTTTTCTTGTAGTTATTCAGAAAGGGTTAGAGATTTGTGTTATGACTAGGGCTGTCATTTGATTATCATTAGAATGTCATAAGACTTTGGCAACCTTATCCATAATGTACAACCTCCTTTGGAATTATTTAATTTAAGCATACAGGCTTAATCTGTGTATTAAATCACTTTGTGAGTGAAGAATGTTGTTCTCTGCAGGTCTGGTGACTCTTAATGACATGAAAGCGAAGCAGGAAGCTCTGGTCAAAGAACGAGAGAAACAGCTTGCCAAGAAGGAGCAGTCAAAAGAGCTACAGCTGTAAGGCCTTTTTTTAGTTATTTGAACTTTGCTTCTCTCCTGCTTGGTGTCTTTTTCTCAATATGAATGAATGAAATAATATTTTAACCATCTTTTAAGATTTTAAGGCTAAGTTTTTGTAGATCTTTGCATTGCGCCATCCAGGCATCCTGCTTTTCTTTGTTTCTTTTTTCTCTTAAATTCTGTGTGAGCTTCATGTTTGGTCTCTTCTTGTAGGAAACTGGAGAAGCAGAAGGAGAAGAAAAGAAAGGAAGAGCAGAAAAGGAAGATTGCCAGTTTATCCTTCAATCCGGAAGAAGGAGAGGAGGAGGAGGAGGAAGAAGAGGAGGAAGAGGAGGAAGAGGAAATTGAGGAGGAGATATGTATGGCATTTTACTTGGCACTTTTCCACAGAAGTGGAGCAAAGTTCTACACAACATTACTGCATAGATTAAAATCAGCACAGAATAATGATATACTTAATTTCTAACCAGCATTTTAAAGTTGTACTACTAAGTAAAAGGTCATTTGATAGTGATTCAGTTTAAGTTTAATAGATTTATTTCATTCATTTAGTTTTTTTTTTTTGATACATTTTTTAAAATTTATTATTTATTTAAACACTAATAAAATGTGGATTTTTTTTTTTGTCATTGTCTTTAACAGGCATACCTGTAAAAAAGAAAAAACTAGGGAAAAACCCAGATGTGGACACCAGTTTCCTGCCAGATAGGGACAGAGAGGTATTTAAAAAAAAAAAAAAGATTTTTAATTCTCTTGATGCTCTGTTAACACATGCACAGCTTTATATTCAACTAACAGCTGAGAGAAACATCTTTTGCATAAAATAGTTGCTTTTGCATTCAGTGTGTCAAAGAGTGTGGAGTGTCTGTCCCAACGGCCTCTTTTTAGGAATCTGATTCAGAGCATGTGAGCGGATCGGTGTGACGCTCCGCTCAATATTCCGCTCTATGCGCTTGCGCAACGCTCAGACGCTCACGGCCCAAGCAAACGCTCCACTCACAAAACGAAAACCCTCACCGGTAAAACAAATCCCGCTCAGATCCCGCTCCGACATTACATTTCTCTAGTAGGCTAATTGATTTCTGTTTGTATTAGGTTTCTTGAAATAATGTATCAATAGTAGGATTATAAATAGCAGTTATGATATGACATTCTGTGACAGTCTGTACTTTTTATTAATTTAAATGCATTCAATTTACTTTATAAATTAAAAAACATGAGATTGCCCTTTAGCAAACTTGCCTGTAAAATGCAATAACTGAAAAAGTACATTAGATTTTCGTTATTTTATTTCCGTGAACATAATATTTGTGTGTTGGGTATGTTTTAGTTGCACTGATATGATGATTGCATAACGAATGAACAATTCATTACTCTTACCCACCATGTTTTAATAATTAGTTTCCTCATTTTAATTAAAGCGAACACACTATATAATAATTCATTAGCCTACCTGGTTTAACCCGTGCATGGCCACATTGTAATAAAAATTAATTAAATTAATGAGAAGGAAATCTTAATTCGTGGTTCAACCCGGTCACACTAAATGCGTCTCTGTAGCACGCATTGTGTTTATCGTGCAATTTATACTCAAAAATGTGTTTTTACGTGCATATGATACGCATGGGTAGGTTTAGTAGTGGTGTGGAGTACGTATGTATTATACGTTTGGGTAGGATTATTGTTGTGGAAGGCGTGTGTACACGCAATAAAGTGCGTATCATATACACGCTAAAAATGCGTAGGCCTGTATCATATGCACGTAAAAACTCATTTTCGCGTATAAAGAGCGGGGTACAACACAATAGCTACCTTAGCTATTTATCTCATTTATTATCATAGGCCTGTTGCTCACCTTTTGCTGCACTATGTTTGCGTAGCACATCATTGTGCTTTCTGCCTTGTGTAATCTGCCTGCTTTAGATTCCAATATGAATCTTTGCTAACTCGCACTGTCTCTCCACACTTTATGTATAAGGCTTGCAACTTCACTAAAACAATATTTGAACTCCATGACCTATTGCTCCACTCGTGCTTAGCTATTTTACAAACTGTCTCGAACTAGCAAATCACCAAAGTGCATTCTGGGTTGAGCGAGCGGTGCTGAGCGGAATGAGCGAGGAAATATAACCGCAACCGCTCAGCACATTTGATATCACCAAAACAAACACAGCCCTACCCAAAAGGATCATACCCTTATCTTGATGCTTAATTCCCCAACAAAACAGGTCCTGTTATAATATTAGTCCCGTGCGAATCGGCATCTGTGATTTGGTGGGATCGTATATAATTTTTTCAAGGTTTTTGTTTCATGTGCGCCTTTTTATCCATCTTTCGCGAAGAATGGAGGCTGTGGAGTGTTTTGATAGTATTTTGGGTGCTGGGTCATATCGCTATACACCATACAACTACACAATTTGCAGAAAGAGAAAGCTGAAAATCATCAAAAGAGCAAAAACAAAAAGAATGATTAGATGGAGATGAATGTATAGCAGCATGCGGTAAGGAACATTATTCTGTTTATGTGATGATATATCATACAGCTAGACCTATAACGACAAGACATTTCCAAGCAATAGCCTATTGACATCATATCCGGGAGATAAGTCAGTAAATTTGAGTAAAATCACAGGCTTAGGTAATCCCGTGCGAATGCGCCACACGAAATTCAGGTGGGGGGGGGGGGGGGGATTTCTAAATCACACGAGGTCCCCAGATAGTACTAATCCCGTGCGAATAGGGCTTTAGTTTATTATTTCAGATGGATTTTTAAAAACACTACAATATATATGTAAAAATTCAACCCCCCCCCAAGTGGCTAGTAGGAGTGACTGCGTTACAAGCAACTGCTAAATACTGCAAATAAACAAACGATGAAACACAAGTATATTTAAGCAGAGGACAGCGTATGTTAGTTCTGTGAAACAAAGCAAAAGCAACGTTATTCATGTATCGAGAAGAAATAAAGCAACCTCGGTGTCCGTTTTCAGGACTTCCAGCTCCTTAAGGTCTCTGCAGCGCTGGAAAGCTTCTCCGATATTAACGCGGTTCCTGATCGTAACCCTTCTTTTTAAAGTTATATTCCACTGGCCATATATTCTCTGCCATCTCTGAGTGTATGCGCCCCTTACTGCTTATTGGCTACAAGTGTGTTTTGGTGCTCGGTCCGATCCACTTTTCAACTGCATCTTTAACACAAGCCTCCTCTGGGCAGTGTTTTGCACATTGAGACATCAGCCTGAGCTTTATCACAAAGCTGCATACCAAATTTGTCAACTGCCACAAGAATTATGGTTTTGTTGTGACTGTTTTTTCTACTTTGGCTCATTACCAGTCAGTTTCCAATGAGGCGTGTCGCCTGTTAAGATCCTTAGATCTGACAGATAACATGTACTTTGTCACGAAGGTCTTGTTTGCATTTATCCTGTGAATATATGAACTAATATATGTCATATATATGCATCAACTGTTTTATTGAAAAGCTTTGGCTTGTTTTCAGAAATTAAAACCAGAATTAAGAGATTGTGAAATAAGTGACTAGATGATCCTTGAGAGGAATTAGCACTCTATGTATGTATGTGTGTGTATAATATATAAGCTTTATCTTCAGTATATATGAGCTTCTTTGATATGCCCTTAAAAATAAAAATGTTGAAATCATTTTTATTTTGCAATCACATAATGCTGTCCATTTTTTTAAAGAACAGTTTTAAAGACTCCACAAATTGTGTGGCTTGTAGTCGGTGTCTGTATGTAGTTGAAAAAAAACTGTTTATTTCGGAACAATGTACTAGAAAGCTTGTGAATACAATGTTTTGTATGTGTAATTGTGAGTAAAATGTGTGTTTCAGGAAGAAGAGAATCGTTTAAGAGAGGAACTCCGGCAGGAGTGGGAAAGAAAACAAGAGAAGATCAAAAGTAAGATATTAAGATCACCATGTACTGTTATGGAGATTACCTTTTGTTTGCTATCTCTGAACCTGGCCAAGAGTGCAGTTGAAGCTGTTTACTTATTCCTTTATTCATTTCAACTCGTCTAGTCATATTTTGATCTTTTGATATTACAAACCTGTTCTTCAACCGGTCTTTTTTTTTTTTTTTTTTTTTTTTTTTTTTAGGTGAAGAAATTGAAATTACTTTCAGCTACTGGGATGGCTCAGGGCATCGAAAAACTGTCAAGGTACAGAACAGGTTATCAGATTTTCTAATTTGAGAAAACTACATGCCCAAGATGTTACATTGTTACATGTTCTGTATTGTAAAAATATGCTCAACTCAGTTTAATATACTGTAATATTTGTGTATGTGCCCATGTAGATGAAGAAAGGCAACACAATGCAGCAGTTTCTCCAAAGGGCCCTGGAAGTTTTGAGAAAAGACTTTAGTGAGCTGAGGTAAATGCATTCTTCATTGTCACCTGCTATAAAAAAAACATTCTTAGATTTACTAGAGAGTGAAGTTAGAGTCAGTTAACACATTTAGAGTTTCTTTAAATCTATATATGTGTGTGTGTGTGTACTGTGCATACACACACATTTTCAAAAACATGTTAGTTTTCTTCAGAATTGAGTTCAGGTTTTCCTCAGAATATCAGTGATGAATATAAATTTCAAGTGTGTTGGTATTAAATGAAACCTCAATGGACAAAATCAAAACAGTGAGGGCTTTTTGTCTTAAGTGAGATATTATTAAACCCTGTTTGTGTCCTTCAGATCAGCAGGAGTGGAGCATCTAATGTACATTAAAGAGGATTTGATAATCCCACATGTGAGTAAAGTTTCCCCCAAACAAAACTGTAAATGGTAATACTTATAAAGCACCTCATTTGTAAGACCAATTAGGTCTGTTTTAAATCATTACAAGATTTGTCATTGTTTACAATGCACTTTTATTCTGTACAAGAATGTACATGTTTTGTGACAGGAACATGTACAAGTTTTACAACGTAAACTGCTTTACAATGTTTGAAGGGCATTTTAGGAAGTGTTTACCTGATTGCAAAGACAGGTGGTAATAAATCACAGTTTTTATAGTTATCTGCTTTTCTTTCAGCACCACAGTTTCTATGATTTCATCGTGACAAAGGCAAGAGGCAAAAGTGGTAAGTTTCTTACTTCCTCTACCACATTTAGTTCAACAGGTTTCCATGTGGCTTCTGTATTTCACACATGACTGTCCTCTGATATTTTATAATATAAAGATAAAACTGATTATATTTTAGCATTAGCCTGTTATTTTCGTGTTGTATCTTTGTTTTTGGTGCTGAATTGAGACTTTCCTCTTTTTCTTCAGGGCCCCTTTTCAATTTTGATGTGCACGAGGACATTCGGCTGGTGAACGATGCCACAGTTGAGAAAGATGAGGTAATAATGTCAGCATAATGTCTGGTCTATATTCTGGGCCACGCAAGTTTAAAGGAAGAGACCTGCATGTAAATGTGATGTTTTGGGGCAGGTGAATGTGAAATTAGATATGATTCTCGTAAATGAAAGCAAATTAGCATATGTGCTCCAGGATAAGGATATGTTTCTTTTACAGATTATTAAGTGTCTTGCCACAAACCTTGAACAACCAGTGACAAATTTGTCTTAGTTGTAGCAACATGGAAACTTGTAAAACTATTGTATAAACTAAACCGCATGGAAGCCAGTGAGCTTTGATAAAGCTTCGGCTAAATTCAAAGCTCTTTATGGTTCTTTGTCCAGTCTCATGCAGGAAAAGTGGTGCTGAGGAGCTGGTATGAAAAAAACAAACACATCTTCCCTGCCAGCCGCTGGGAGCCTTATGACCCCGAAAAAAAATGGGACAAATACACAGTGAGTATATCTTCCACTAAAGACCTTAAATTGAAAGTCCTGACACTGAAATCGTCAGAGTTGAGTGAAAGTCTCTAAAATGTTTAGTAGTAGAACCATATCAAAGAAGGTCTGTGATCTTGACGTATTTGATCATGTCACGGTCCTAACCAAAACCAAAAACTAATGTGTTCCAGGAATAGCTAAACAGGCTTTCTATAGATGAAAACAAGATGTCAGGACAAATAAATCATGAAAATGTTGTGGATCTACTGGGGTGAAAAATATGCTTTTGGATGGATTCATAGCATGTTTACAGACTGTTTTGCATTGCTTTTCAGATTCGGTGAGATGCCACATCCATGAGACGTACAGCGTTCCTGAACCATCTTACTGTTTTGTTGGTTTTATTGACATCAGGCAGCAAAATGCTTTATCTTGCGTAGCATTTCTGAATACCTATAACTGTTTGCAACCACGTTTTCATTGTATATAGGTGAACATGAGGTCTAAACCGAGGCCGATCGTGAACATTCTTTGTCAAAAGCTCATAGTCGGATCTTGCACACAACTAACCTGACACATCTTTTTGTTAACGCATCTGTTGTTTGCCTTCTTGATTGTAAATAGAGTCAGTTGAGTGTTTCAATCATCTCTTGAATCATATTTAAAAATAAACTCCCCGTTTATGTACCTTTTGTATGTTTTCCTGTTGAATCATTTTATGATTGCTCCATCGCTATTCCAGGCACTTTTTTAAAGATTGTTATTGTTCAAGTTTTGACAGATTTGTAGTCTCCTGGGAAGAAACAAACCCGTTGAAAATCAAACGCAAGGTAGCAAAGTCACGTAAAAACCACAGGCTATAAATCTCTCATGGTGTGTTTCCTGGAACGGCATTTAGGGGAACAAAATCTATTTTCACAGATGCAGAATGTTATTTTTGGACATCGGCTAGTTAGTCCTGCAGGAATATGTGGTGGTGTGAGTTAAGGTCATTATTCCATTTGCACATTTAAGCCGAAAGGGCAGCTTCAAACAGTAAATCAGGTTAAGCATACCTGTGGGCACAGCAGATGGATTTTGACAGCCTCTTGTCAAAGAATTTCCCCCCAGGCCACCACTCCCTCAACTGCTGTTGTTTTCATTCCCAAACCTTTGCCTACCTCCTCCCTTCCCCTGCCGTTCCACCCCCTCTGCTTTCACTCAACTGATCTTTAGTTCTTCAAGAAACCTGGCATATCTGCTTTGAGGACATAGCCGTGTTGGGGTTTGAAGACAGTTTTCAGTGTCCTTCAGGCAGGTAAAGGGAGCGGGATGTGGCCACCCACACTGACCCTGGATCTGCTCCTGCTGGTCAGTTTGTCCCTCGGCACCCATGGTGAACGAACATCTTACAGACCTCAGAGTTGCACGCTTGAATGCATCCGCTGGGTAAGATTTCATACTTTGACTTCCAGCTGGCTGTATCAACATTTAAGGAATAAGCGGTACTGTTTTTATTAATTTCGCAATGGATTAAATTCATTATTATGTAAATAAATAGAACTTGAAACTCAAAATTCTCCAATGAGACCCAACTGAAAATCTGGATTTCAAAATCTAATTTGCACCTGGAAATAAGGGTTTAGTTTGGGTTTTTTTTTCATGAAAGGTAAAAAGTGTACGATTTCTAGGTCACTCATCAAATTAAGCAAATTCATTAAATGTTGTTGTTTTTTGCCAATATTGTCATTACTGAAATTCATATAAGTATGCTGGATTGTGGCAAAGTGTGCCTGTGTGTGTTCATCGAGGGATTTGCTTTCACCCCTCACACTCATTCTCACGGACTGATCTTAATCTGTGTCTTTTCTTTTTGCTCCTTTGGTTCTCTCTCGTGCTTCAAGATTGTTTGCCTTTTCACTATAGCCCCTTTCACACAGCGCTTTGAACCCGGCAAATTGCCGGCAAATTCCCAGAGTGCCTTCTGTGTGAACGCAAACACGACCCGGGACTGATGCCGGGATCGATGCCGGGTTGGGGACCTAGTAACATTGCCGTGTTCAGACCCGGAACGCGCGCTGTGTGAACAAAAGCCGTAACCAATGCCGTGTCGTAATGATGACGCTGAAGTGAAGTGAAAGCAGGCTAGTGAAACGGTACGTAATGCGCTAGTTTATGATCGAATCAGAGAAAAAATGCACAAGCGTGGTTTCTCCGGAGAGAAATCGCAGCTCATAAGCAAACTATACACGTTGCTGAGACATTACATGTCACATCGATGTCACGTGTCTTTCCGGAACATACATGGGTTGTGTGTGAACGCACTCTCTGATTCCGGCAAATCACTGGCAGTGTGAATGAAGCAAAATCAAACGAACCCGGGTCAAATCCCGGGTCGCTTTATCCGTGTATTTTCCGGAATCTCTGTGTGAAAGGGGCTTAAATCTGTTTTTTTTCTGGTTGCTTCAGGTCAGGTACATGAAGATCATTTGAGTTGTTTTGTTTTTTGCAGTATCTCTCTGCTTTATAGTTTGATTATAGCATGAATCATGGTATTTGTACTTCTAAATCATCACATTTATTTATATAGAGCTTTTACAATACAGATTGTTTCAAAGCAGCTTAACGGAGATAACAGGAAAATAATGCAACAAAGTTTGTTTCCAGAAGAAAATAGCATCACAGTCCATCTTAAGTAAGTTCAGTGATGTTTTATTTTTGTTGTAAACAAGTTATTAATTTAGTTAATTTATATATATACCGTAATTCCTCAAATAAAGGCCGGGGCCTTTATTTACCTGAACTGCAGATGGTAGCCGGCTTTTATTTGAAGCAGGCTTTTATTAGAGGCAGGCCTTTATTTCTAATTCGCGATCCCCGCCCGCCCGCCAGCCAAGTTTCCATGGTGACGCGTCATGCTTGGCACGTGTTCACCACAGCCAAAATAGCGCTGTATGACAGATGTAGCGCTTTTATTTCTAAATATTAACAAACTTGCTTACCATGTCATCATCTATCTTCTATTCTGACTCTCAAATCCGTGTAAGTGAGTTTGTTTTGTCGTTTAAAACCCTTTATAAATGATCTTGATCTGTAACGTGAGATGGGCACCGCAGTTCGGAGATTCCTGTTGTATTTGTTAAGTTACAGCGCGTGAATTCTTCAGTTTCTCCCGAAATACATGAAAGTAAGTGGCCGGTGAACTGGGAGAAGAATAGAGTAAACTTTATAGTTACTTACACACTGTGTATCTGATATGAATAAAACACGTCGCCAAATATATTTGAATGGATTGTTATTGCTGCTTCCATAGACACCATTGTGTATTTTACAAACTATAAATTTATTGTTTTGCTATAAATCATATCTATTTAAATGTCTGAAACCTAAAATAAACATGTGGTTAAAAACACTGAATAGTTGTGATATATGACAAGCGCTGAGCGCGTCCGTCTTTGAGTGTACACTCATTTAAAGTGTACCTATTCACACTAATTTTTCCCCGGCCTTAATTTGAGACCGGCCTTTATTTGTCCGCGTTGACCACGCCCCCGGCCACTATCAGAGGCCCGGCGTTTATTTGAATACCGGTCTTTATTTGAGGAATTACGGTAGCCACTCTGTAGAAAACCGTGATGTCATCGTCCAGCTAAGTTCAGTTCTCATTTAATGATGTCAATGCAGGCAGATCAATATTATTGTTGAATATTAAATTAAATGTTAAATTTAATGTCCCCAACTTAGCAAGCCAAAAGCCAATGGCAACAAAGGGGAAAAAGGCGACTGGCAAGGAACCATAATCCGGCTGACTACATCATGCGTTGTGGTCATGTCTAGGCGCAGGTCCACCATCTGATCTGAATACTGATGGCTGATTACAGTAAACCTCGGGAAATAAGCAGAAACACTAACATTAGCATAGATGCCATTCTTCTTATGATGTAACGAGTACATCGGGTGTTATAGGAAGTGTTCCCAGTTGCGGCTGACCTAATTTATGCAGCCTAATAATCATTTAACTGATTTTTATATGATAAATGTATAATTTTTTCTGTGGATGCCAGGTTAAAGAGATGTGTTTTTAGTCTAGATTTAAACTGACAAGAGTGTGTCTGCTTCCCGGACAATGTTAGGGAGACTGTTCCAGAGTTTAGGTGCTAAATAGGAAAAGGATCTACCGCCAGCAGTCGATTTTGATATTCTAGGTATTATCAACTGGCCAGAATTTTAAGATCGCAATAGACGTGAAGGACAGTATTCTAGGTTAGTACGTGCGGAGGTTTTTGGTCCAATCATTAAAAACTCTGTTTTTTCAGAATTAAGTAATAGGAAATTACTAGTCATCCCAATTTTTATATCAGCTGTGCATTCCGTTAATTTCTTGAGTTGGCAAGTTCCGTCGTGGCACAAAGAGATATACAGCTGAGTATCATCGGCATAACAGTGAAAACAAATCCCATGCTTCCTAATGATATCTCCCAAGGGTAGCATGTACAGAGTGAACAGCAACGGTCCTAGTACATAGCCTTGTGGTACTCCATACTGAACTTGTGATCGATAAAACATCTCTTCGTTTACTGCTACAAACTGATAACGGTCAGATAAGTATGATTTAAACCATGCTAATGCAATTCCACTTATGCCAACTTAATTTTCGAGTGTATTTAAAAGAATGTTGTGGTCGATGGTATCAAATGCAGCACTAAGTTTGTTAGGGTTGTGTTTCTGAACCCCAAATCGTCATGTTTGAGCTCTAAGACTTTGTGCCATATTACTAGAGAGAAGATCGGTACCATCCCAGGAGGGATGAATGCCATCTCTTTTCAACAGGTCAGGTCTGCCCCAAAAACTTTTCTATGAACCCTATATTATTTTCCGGACACCACTTAGACAGCCAGCCATTGAGTGAGGACAGTCTACTAAGTGTCTCATCACTGACTCCGGTGAACCGGAAGGGGGCCAGAGCAAATTACAGTGGCTGACATCGTACTTGTGAACCAGGAGTTCACACACCTCTTTAACGTTAATTTTAGTGATCTCCGACTGGTGATGTCGAACATCATTAGTGCCGACGTGAATAACAATCTTAGAGAATTTACGATTAGCATTAGCCAGCACTTTTAAATTTGCTTTGATGTCAAGCGCTCTGGCTCCCGGCAAACATGTGACTATGGTGGCTGGTGTCTCTATTTTCACGTTCCGTGTAATAGAATCGCCAATAACTAGGGCACTTTCAACAGGATTCTCAGTGGGTGTTTCACTGAGTGGGGAGAATATATTTGTTATGGTAATCGGAACGGAAGAACGGGGTTTTGTCCCGCGACTACAGCGTCTCACGGTCACCCAGTTGCCCTGCTGCACGGGCTCTACAGCCGGAACCGAACAATGTACAGAGTTTACTAAGCCAGTCACATCCAAAGCAGTATCTAAAGCCTTTGCATTCTTACTATCCTCGATTAAAGTTTGGATGCGTGTCTCTAGTTCTGAAAGAGCACAAAGCCATGCAAGTCCACTCTGTGTTTTAAATAGCAAATTATATTATTTCTAAGTGAAAAATTAGAGGCAAGAAATCTGGCCTTTTGTACAATGGAACTAACAAGGTCAGTGTTAGACATTTGATTAGTGGCCTAGAAATGGTGCATAATCTCTAATATTTCATTTTTTCACTATTTTTTCCCTATTTCAGATTAAATTCCCTATTTTTAATAAAGTGGACAATGTGTATTTTCAGGGAGACCCAAGATGTGAATACTGCAGAATCACAGCAGACGATGTGCAAATATCTCCCAGTATTCCCTCTTCCAGCCCGTTTGGAAGTAAGTAAATTTTATTGTATATGTCCAGCACCCCCCTATAGACCTTTAATGACACAACATAATCCAGCTCTGCCAAAACCCAATGGTCGTTGTAAAGGTTCAAGGAGTTAATGAAAAAAGCTTTTATCATAGCTTTTGATCACTAAGTAGGAGTAAAGGGATCACTTTCAGCCAGTGAAATTCATTTTAATGTAAACTTGTAGATGAACCACTGCTTAAAATGGACAAACGTGACTGTGAACATAGATAATGATCAGTGTATAAACAACTCAATTGCGAACTCAACTGCTGATGAGTTTGAAGTTTTACATTTCTCAGGATGATAGGCTTAATGAGAAAAAGCTCATTAAAAAATAGTCAAACAATCTGGCATTGATTGACTTTGCATGCTTTATGCGGCCAGTAAAAGTACATTTTGTAATCCATCCACTGCATCACTAAATGATAACATGTGAAATGTGTTTGAAATTGCCTTTCACAGTGATCAGTGTTGACATTCTAAAAGTATGACGGACATCTTTAATTGTTCATTCAGGTTGCGTGATGTACGATAATTACTCTCTCTTGTTTTGTTGGATTAAGTTGTTCTGGTAATTTCACTAAACAAGACAAGCTGTTTTGCACTATAATTGTTTGCAGCAGTTCCAGGAATCACTTATATTTGGCTTTCTTTGAACCAAAATGTAATCTGTATATGTATGAATTTCCATTTTCAGCTGCTTTCAAAGACTAGCATGTTAGGATTTTATCTTATCTATCTTATTGTCTTATGTAAATCAAAATGCCTTTCTCTTGTTCTCGGATGTTTTTAAAGGGATAGTTCGGCCAAAAATAATATTTAAACCATGCATTACTCACCCTCAAGCCGTTCGAGATGCATATGTCAATCTTGTTTCAGACGAACACATTTTCAGTTATTTTAGAAAATGTCTTAGACCCTTCAGTGGATATAATGTGAAGCAATGGGGTCCACCTCCTTCAAGTCCCAAAATGTGCATATATCCTTCACAGAAGTAATCCATCCGGCTCCAGGGGGATAAACGAAGGCCTTATGAGGGTAATCCGTGCGGTTTTGTCGTAAAAATATACATATTTAAAACTTTAATGAAAATATCTGACTTCCGGCAACGATCGACGCGCGTTCACGGGTGATGTTTTGCTCTGCTCTCTGGCTGCGCGGGCGCGTTCGTTCTACGTCACGACGCTACGTCCTACCTCGTACGCCGACTTCCATCACCCGTGGACGCGCGTCGATCGTTGCAGGAAGTCAGATATTTTCATTTATAAAGTTTTAAATATGTATATATTTACGACAAAACCGCACGGATTACCCTCATAAGGCCCACGTTTATACCCCTGGAGCCGGATGGATTACTTTTGTGAAGGATATATGCACATTTTGGGACTTGAAGGAGGTGGACCCCATTGCTTCACATTATATCCACTGAAGGGTCTAAGACATTTTCTAAAATAACTGAAAATGTGTTCGTCTGAAACAAGATTGACATATGCATCTCGAACGGCTTGAGGGTGAGTAATGCATGGTTTAAATATCATTTTTGGCCGAACTATCCCTTTAACTTTGTCATCTCAAAGTAGCTTTTGACAGTGTACCTCATGTCATGTGTAATGAAAACCATTTTAAGAATCAGGTCAGGTACAAATAGCTCATTTAGTGTAACTGTGTGGTAACTCCTCTCCTCGGCTAGGTTGTGTACCTTGGCCTTGTCAATCTTTTCTAGGCCAGGAAACCCCAGAGGTCTGCCAGCATTATGTTCACCCACCACAAAATATTCACATCGAGTTTGAAGCCAATAAAGATCCAACATATGATACCATTACTGTATCATGGAACCCAAGCCAATATGGTAATGATCGACAGTCTGTCTGTCTGTTGTTTTATGTTCCATCTGTCCTAGCCATTCATCCATCTGTCTGTAGTTCTATCTATCATCCATCTATCCATCCGTCTGTCGTTCTATCTGTCTGTCATTCGTTCTATCTATCTGTCTGTTGTTCTATCCATCTGTCTGTAATTCTATCAATGTCTGTCTATCTGTCTCCACTCACCTAAAGGATTATTAGGAACACCATACTAATACTGTGTTTGACCCCCTTTCGCCTTCAGAACTGCCTTAATTCTACGTGGCATTGATTCAACAAGGTGCTGAAAGCATTCTTTAGAAATGTTGGCCCATATTGATAGGATAGTATCTTGCAGTTGATGTAGATTTGTGGGATGCACATCCAGGGCACCAAGCTCCCGTTCCACCACATCCCAAAGATGCTCTATTGGGTTGAGATCTGGTGACTGTGGGGGCCATTTTAGTACAGTGAACTCATTGTCATGTTCAAGAAACCAATTTGAAATGATTCGAGCTTTGTGACATGGTGCATTATCCTGCTGGAAGTAGCCATCAGAGGATGGGTACATGGTGGCCATAAAGGGATGGACATGGTCAGAAACAATAAGCAGGTAGGCCGTGGCATTTAAACGATGCCCAATTGGCACTAAGGGGCCTAAAGTGTGCCAAGAAAACATCCCCCACACCATTACACCACCACCACCAGCCTGCACAGTGGTAACAAGGCATGATGGATCCATGTTCTCATTCTGTTTACGGAAAATCGACAGATTTTCAGAAATCGAGACTCATCAGACCAGGCAACATTTTTCCAGTCTTCAACTGTCCAATTTTGGTGAGCTCTTGCAAATTGTAGTCTCAAATGAGTGGTATCCGGTGGGGTCTTCTGCTGTTGTAGCCCATCCGCCTCAAGGTTGTGCGTGTTGTGGCTTTACAAATGCTTTGCTGCATACCTCGGTTGTAACGAGTGGTTATTTCAGTCAAAGTTGCTCTTCTATCAGCTTGAATCAGTCGGCCCATTCTCCTCTGACCTCTAGCATCAACAAGGCATTTTGGCCCACAGGACTGCTGCATACTGGATGTTTTTCCCTTTACACACCATTCTTTGTAAACCCTAGAAACGCAGATTTTGTGCGTGAAAATCCCAGTAACTGAGCAGATTGTGAAATACTCAGACCGGCCCATCTGGCACCAACAACCATGCCACACTCAAAATTGCTTAAATCACCTTTCTTTCCCATTCTGACATTCAGTTTGGAGTTCAGGTGATTGTCTTGACCAGGACCACACCCCTAAATGCATTGAAGCAACTGCCATGTGATTGGTTGATTAGATAATTGCATTAATGAGAAATTGAACAGGTGTTCCTAATAATCCTTTAGGTGAGTGTATATGTCTATCTATCTGTCCATATGTCTATCTATCTATCTATCTATCTATCTATCTATCTATCTATCTATCTATCTATCTATCTATCTATCTATCTATCTATCTATCTATCTATCTATCTATCTATCTATCTATCTATCTCTCTCTCTATCTCTCTATCTCTCTATCTCTCTATCTATCTCTCTATGTCATTCAATATATCTATCGTCCCCTCTGTATCGGTCTAATTATTTGATTAATGTACACAGGTATTGCATTCTTACGTGGATTTCAAGTAACTCTTCAGGCTCTTGGTGGATCTCAGTTATCATGTCAGCTCTTTCTCCTGGGTAGCAATCTGTCCCTCACCGCTGCACATGCCCATCGGGTATGTAAAAAAACCTACAACTTAGGTAGCATCCAATGTCATTTTATTCTATAATATATTACTCTAATATATTTTCAAACTATAAAAAAAAAAAATAAAAAAAAACAGGGCTTTTAGAATCTTTTTAAGAGCTTACTGTTTCCGTATTTATATAACTTTGAGTTACCATGTACTTGTTCCTAAGTCATGAGATCAAGTAATGTATTTTCTTGATGGTTTTCACAGGTCTATCACTCAGATCCCTTCACAAATCTGTCTTTGGATAGGGAGTATGTTGTGACTGTCATGGTACTGCCCGTCCCTGAGCAGTGGGAGCAGTCCTATGAGAAGAAAATGTTTTTCACACGCAGTAAGCGCTTCCCTTTTGATTAAAAACAAACCATGTAATTAGTTTGATAGTCATTAACAATGTTGATAACTTGCACCACTGCACATTAAGAGAATCAGTCGACAAATGCTTAAGTTGTAATAAACTTGACAATGTGTGTTTTCAGCATGTCCTGAAAAAAATGGTCTTGAAGAGTGTGAGAAAGGTGAGTGTTGTAGACATCACATGTCTTCTGTGTTCCTGTTGATCATGGCTCATGGTCCTCAGATGTGTTCGTTCACATGTCATGTCATTCATTATAGACTGGTATCCCAGATACGTCGAGGTCCACCAGGAGAACCAGGATATTTATGTGACCTTTAACCTTGCACCTGAGAACTTTGAAGTCCGTCAGTATTTTTCATCATGTTTCGGAGGTGGGCTACGAAATTACACAAGCATCAAACCGGTGGGTTTAAAAAAACAAAACATATTTTAAATAAAACATTAATAACAATGTCTATAATACAGACTTAAGAATACAGATATTGTTGTTATTTAATCAAGTGTAATATGAATCAGTGTTATTTAAGGATCATTTAAATAAATATGAAATAAATACAATTTCTCAAACGTTCACCTGATAACTATTAAATCAGAATGTTTGCTGATGTCTAGGATTTTAGTCTCAACAAGACACATCACACATACCGTTTGCAGAATCTCCAAGCAGGTACAAACTACACCTGTCAGGTGAGTCTTCATTCTTCAGATTAAATGGGTGTGTGTTTGTTTAGCTTTCTGTAATATTGAATGAGAGATCAAATTATGTCAGGCACACAACTGTTCAGACACATTAAAAAGTCTGTGCCAATAAACTTCTATAAATATTCGCTGTAACTTTCTAGATATATAATTCCCAGATGTTTTTTTTCTCATCACATGTTCAGTAGTTTTTATATTTTTCTTCCCTGCAGATTGCTGCTGATGTCGTGGATGCAGTCAGGAAAACATTCGTTTTTGTTGTTAAACATAGCTCTGAAGGTAAAGTTGAACTGTCAAATCAAAAAAGAACACACGTTCAGCAAAAACTGATTTGAACTCTATGGACATGTTAGAGATTATTGTACACACTGAAGGCAAAACAATTTTTTTGTTATGTGCACAATGCTTAGTCTTCAGCGTGTACAGAAACTGCATGTGGAGCAACATGCCAGGCAGCTTTTAAAGTCCCTGTAAAGGCAATTTTAACAAAACATTCTAAACACATTCTAAAGGTTAGAAATGTATTGCTAAAACATATTACAAAGACTGTGAACAGTGAAGTACTGAATTGTGGAGTTAGACCGTTAAACAGTTTTTCACCCTGGCAATTTCACGGATTTTTTGGGCGGGTCTAAAACAGGGCTCGATGACGCACTGGAGCTCTTGGACACGCCCCTACTCGATGACGCACTGATACTGATCCCTCTAACAATATAAATAGAGCACATTCGCATCAGTTTGGCGCTCATTTGCGAGTTACTGTCAGTACTATTATCAGTTACTACAGCCTACAGTTTGCTATCTAGCCATGCCTTCGTCACGGAAATGCGTACTACTTGGATGCAATCATTTGCAAAACAGATCGGTGTCCTTGTTTAAATTTCCTAAAAACGACGACATCAAGAAGAGGTGGATTAATTTTGTGAAGAGCCACCTTGATGGAGAGCTGAGGATCACCAGCCAAACCCGCCTCTGTAGTGATCATTTTACTCGTGATAGTTTTATAAACTTTCGTCGGAGACAACTGGGATTCACAGATAATCCGTTGTTACTGGTGAAAGGTGCCGCACCGACTATCTCTCGCCTCGGCCTTCATCCTCCCGTCCCGCCGACAACTGGCGCCATCATCGGCAATGCGTGCCCACCAATGAGTGTAAGTTGCCTTGTGTGCTTGTTATAATTATAGTATTTATTTGTCTAAGTTAGGTTAAGCTAGTTAACGTTTACTTACATATAACTTAGCTAACTTGCATAAAAGGGAGAGAAAAAATTTACCATTCTGTTGCAGAGCGAGGGGGACGATGTTGACTTCCTTGGTCAATGTCTTCTGAATCGGATTCAGGCTCTGGAGGCTCAAACAAATATGGCTTGGTATAACCTAATAAGCTGCTAGGAGCATCCATTTCGGCTGTAGCGGGTCCCGTCGAGTGCAGCTTTCCCGCGAGTGGGCGTGGTTTCAGCGCAGCCAGCGGACACGCCCCCAGCGTTTGAGAGCAGAGAAAACTGCTCATTTTTTCAAGATTTTGATAGCTTATTTTATGTACTTGCCGGCTTTTTTTATCATTCAAATTTGGCTGGGTGGCTAATAACACATTTTTCTGTGGTGTGACAAACTCAGAACACATACTTAATTTTGACTTTACGGGGACTTTAAAGAGGCAACACCCATTGAAACAATTACGTTATCAAAGACTTCAATGTCATAATCGGTTTGGTATTTTTCCCCTCTGACGATCAGAGCCATCGACCTCTCACTTCACAGAAAGCCCTTCACTGATGGTGCTCTTGTCCGTGGGAATCCTGCTTGCGGCTACCGCAGTGCTCACCTTCATCGTTGTCTACAAGAAAAGACTGAAGAAGAAAAAAGTCCAGACCAAAATGAGACCAGGTTCGAGTTTTATAACCAATTAGAATAAAGTGATTGTACTTCATTAACATACTGGTCAGTGATAAAACTGCTAAGCGACACATTGTGTTCTTCTGCTCTTTATTTATCCATGTTGAATATTTTGTTTACAAAGCAGGGCTATAAATTAATTTGGGAAGTTTAAAAGGTGTTTTTGAGAGTGCCAACGAAAGCTGGGTGCACACTGTATGATTTATAATAGTCCTTCACGACTGTTGCTTGTCAGATTGTACAAACATGATCCCCGTTTAAGCCATGTCACACACTGTAGGATATCAGTTGTCAGACTGTAGTACTGCAGTCAAGACCATAGACAGTAAAAGAAATGGACAGAGCGATCTCATTGGAACTCAGTTGAGACAGTTGAAGCCCACTTTTAGCGATTCACGTTCAGTGACGTGGGAGGAGTCGCATTACAGGACTGTGCATCAAATCTTCTGAGACTTAGCAGAATTTTGCCTGAGGGAAAGGTCATTAATCGGCTGTCTGCAAAGATGTCAAACTAGTGATCAAAGACTTCAAATTTTGCCCGAGGATCTGAGTAATCGTTTAGGATTCAAAAAAATGTTTGTCTCAGACGGCCAAAATCGTACAGTGCGAACCCAGCTTAAGATGTGTTGTTTTGTACTAATGGGCAATTGTGTTGTTATTTCCTATTTGTCAGAAATCATCGAACAGTACTATGACAAAAAACTGGGTGAAGGACAGTGTGTTTTGCTGGACAAAACCACCCGCCCCCCTCGTCTACTGATTTGCTACTCAAGTAATGATGGTCCTGCCCACGTCAGAGTCGTGTTGCAACTGGCTGCTTTTTTGCAAAAGCACATGGCGACTCAAGTAAGTGTATTAGGATTAAATCAGACAAAGCACGCTGAGAATATTTGTATTATTTTAAGACTTTGTTTCCTCATCCATCTTTAAAGGAAACATGAAACATTTTGTTTGAGATTATTAGACATTTCATGAATTAATTGGAATGTAGTATATTATTGAAAAAAATTCAAATTAACTCATTATTTTGAATAATGAATAATGAAACACTCTTTCCAGTGTTATTTTACTATTGTTTATGCACTCTTATAGTATTTATTAATATTTTGAATTTGCTTTTATTTGTATATATTTCATATTTCATATATTTCATATCAAGTTTTTGTCATTTTCTCATAGTTTTTTTTTTATATTTCTAAATAACTAATTAGTTTTTTAGTTTACATCAACTTTTTCTAAGTTTAAGTTTTTCAGGTAATATTTATATTTTATTTCATCTAACGGGAACATTTTTTTTTTAGGTTTAGTTAACAATAACAACACTGGTCCTTTCAGTTCTAAAAACAAAGTATTAGCGCGACTGGTACAAATCCATGGATAAGAGTCATTAGATTCTCCACATTGGCCATCAGTATCTCTGTAAAAAAAAAGTATCAAATAATATAAATAAAAATGAATAAAATAATTAAAAGATGTCTATGTATTTAAATAGATAAAATAAACTACATTTAAAAATGTATTTTTAATGATTCAAAAGAAATGTCTATACATGGTTATTTCAACTCTTGATCTCTTAATTATCTCTATTGTTAATTCTCCTTTTTCTGTTTAGGTGCATTTAGACTTGTGGGAGGCCTTGCACATTATGGAGGAGGGCAGTATGGGGTGGCACTGCAAGAGAATGAAGGATTGTGACTTTGTGCTGATCATTTGCTCCCGAGGTCTCCATCAGAACCAGTCTGAGGACGAGGAACCGCTGGAGAACACCACCTTAGTTACTGTTTCCATGATCGGAGAGGAGCTGTGTCGTGCCAAAGCGTTGGGTCAAGACCTCTCCAAATTCATGGTGGCCATATTTGAGTACTCACAAGAGTCTGATATCCCAGCGTCACTAGGTCTCGCTTCAAGATACACCCTGACTAAAGACTTACCTTTGCTCTTCTCCCATCTTCACGGAGTGGCTTTGCAGAAGCCTGGAGTTTACCTACAGGTGGAGGATATTTTAGAAAGCGGGTACTGTAAACTCCCAGCTGGGGCTGCACTACAGCTGGCCATACAGGAGGCCAAGGCACAGTTTTCTGAGGAGCCGACTGAAGAGGAACATGTAGGAATTCCAATCATTTCATAAAGGATCTCTAGAACTGCATTGATAAATGCACTCACACCCCAAAGTATACTTAAATTTTTTTTTCACAGTCATACATAGCCTTTCAAAGTATAAATTCATACACTACATGGGTGGGTACATAGTGCATAGTGTGTACTGCATCATTTGGGATGCAACTTTATTCCCCTCACACAATCACACGTCAACACGTGTGGATGTCGAATTTTTTTTGTTTGTTCTGTTTTTGTTTCTTTTCTGACTGTGAAACAATGGTCCAGGCCAGTGTTGCCATCTTGTGGGCAAACTAATTAGTGCAACAAAAAAAAAATTAATAAGCCTGCATCCGAAATCGCATACTCTCTCGAGTAGGTACTTTTTTGAACAAGTAATTACTTCACGGGCCGCTAAAAAAGTATGTTCTATATAGTATGAATGGGTGTAGTATGAATGTAATCCGGATTTACTGCATTCGCCATGTTGTCATTATCATGTGACCTACCAAGTTCAATTGCTTCGCTTCACTGCCATTCACAAATGCTCTCCTATTGTGACCTCATGGGATTGTAAAGTGTCCATCGTATGCACACTTCAGAATCTCGCCAGTAGTAGGTCATCCGGGTACTTTTTCCCTTCTTTTATCAGTTCTGTCAATTCAAACATACTTCTTTTGTCACATACTGTTACTGTTATATAGTTGGGAAGTATGCGATTTCGGATGCAGCCTAACATAAAGCGTGTGTGTGAGCTACAAAATTAAACGTACATTGTATGAAATTCGCCTTGCACACGATTTACGTATTTCCTAGCGCATGGGGTTTTCAAACTGTGGTCTGGAAGAGAGTGCTATGGGGGTCAGTGTAATAATAATGTAACAATAAAAACAACGTACGGGATCTGAGCCATATTTGAAGACCTGATAATCATTAGGTACCCAGAATACCCTAGAAACCACATAACAACATTCAGAACACCGTAGCTACCACATAGCATCCACCTGTCCTACAGCACCCACAGGAGTTTTGCATAGACATGCACAATCAACTTTATCTAAATTGCATGGGCGTCTTTTTAGATTGTTGTGAAAAACAAATGAGAGGGAACCTGAAGTACAGTGAGGTTGCCCAATGCTGTGAATGATTTTTTCATGTAAATGTGTATTAATTTTTCCCTTATTTGTGTATTTCCTGCTTATGTTCATGAATGATAAACATCATGTGACAGTGAATATTCATTTGCATGCAATCCCAGTAGTCTTTCTAAAAAAATATGGAAAATGTTCAAGGACACTTTTGATTTATTGTAGTGAATGACCTTAAATTGTGTAATTTGTTTACATGAAGTGTTATTTTTAATTACCTTTATTATATTTTTTGCTAGGCCAATTTTTTTTTTTATCTGTTATTGTTGCAACAATCTGTGTTTGTCTAACATGAAGGGAAATTACTATTTTATTTTGCCAAACTGCCTAAATGTCTGCTTGGTCTTACATTATATTAATGCAAGGCTTTTTTTTAAATATATATTTTAATAATGCATAATCTTTATATTATTATAATGCAAGGAAATTCAGGAGAAAAAAACACATATGTCTCAGTGAGATGTGTAACACATCTCTGTTTTTAGAATATAAGCTATAAACTCTTACATAAAATGTTTATGAAAATGTATGAATGCATGATGTTTTACAAATAAACTTTCATTGCTTTTGTAAATAGCTAGGACTAATTTATTCGACTGATATATCTTTTTTTGCTTTGGTGTACAATCTGACCCTGTTAGAAAGCTTTGTTTTACGAATATAAAACTTAAGCATTGGCAACAACATCAAACTTATTACATACAATTGATTTTCTTGCATTTAAATCATTGTTAAGGAATTCATACACAACATTTTCCACAATAAAGTAAATAATCATAAATTTCATCGCCAATAAATCTTGTAACATCTTGCCAAAGCTGTTCAGAAAATTGGCAACGCCAACAAAGACGTTTCAGAGTTACACACAGAAAACTGATGCTATTTTTTAACATTGAATTGTGGAGTAATATTTATGGGCCATTTAAAATGAAATAATTTACTTTGGGCTGCAATTTTTTGTAGCAAATTATTTCTACTAAGCTATAGGCCTACTACAAGTAAAGAGTAAATGGGCATAATATCCCATTGGAACAATAATCAAATTATTACAAGAATATTCTAAGGACAACTGCAGAGTTGGAACAGTTTAAACTGATATATAAAGACAGTTTAAAACAGTCTAAGATGGTTTGCTGGTCTTATCTGGTCTCCTGGCCTGGACCATATTATAAAATATTAATAATGACTTAGAAAGGTTATATCATATTAATAAAGGCAGTAAACTGACCGCGCAGCAGCCGAATTCACGAAGGTTGGCTCATGAATATGACTTAGCTTACGCGTGACTCCGTCGATTTAAAGTAATAGTATGATTCTGTACTTCGCCAGAGCTGAGTATGAGTAATGAATATGCATAGCAGCAGGCTCTCTAGCGCCTCCCCTCCATATTTCTCCATATTCCTTTCCCTCATTCATCCGCACTGCACACCGCGTCCACAGGCATCATGGTGCTCGATTTAGACCTGTTTCGCACCGACAAAGGCGGCGATCCTGAAATCGTGCGGGAAACCCAGAGGAAACGGTTCAAGGATGTGTCTCTGGTGGATAAACTGGTCGAGACGGATACAGAATGGAGGAAATGTGAGTATCGGCTAACGCTACAGCTAACGAAACACATGGCAGCCTGTGAATGAGAACAGTTTGTGACACGTATTACAGATGTGTAAATCAACTTTAAGACTTTAAGATAGGAAACACACACTGACTGTGCTATACCACATAATAAAGTTAATATAAAATGCGTGGAAACGTGCAGAACCCGCAATACCGGTTTACTGGAGTAGCATGTAGCATTGACGCTAATACTTAACCCGCCTGTCATAGTGTGATTAACATTGTTTACTTCAGTTAATAAAACTTGTTTCTGTTATTTAGCCGAATATACGTTTATATCAGGTGTTATTCGGGGATGAGAGGTATGAGTATACATTGGTTAAACCTGTCGCAGCATCACCCGGCTGTATCTGATGCAATCTCTGTCAGAGTGAATACAGAGGAGGAGCTGCTGACTGTCAGTGATGTTGTGTGCCAGACTGTTCTTTCATCATGGAGTGAAAATATTAGGAATAACAGTTTGGCAATTTAATTCCCTCTTCCTTTAAATCCATCCAAAAGTCTCACTATTAATATATTTAAGCTTGGTGTGTTCACCATATGAATCAGGACTAAAGACTTTAAAGTCTTTAAAGGTTGTTTTAAAGTCACCATGAAATAAAAATGGACAATTCTTATTTTCTTTATTGCAGTATTTATTACAAATTATTTATCCGTGCACATTATTGTTTCAAAATTAATCTGCTCTCTCCTAATCTTTAATCAAAATAAATTCCCCTCCCACTTGCAGCGACATCCCTTCTCTTCTCTGATGATGCGTTTACTGGCGTGAGGGCGGGACAACCTGTCACTCACATGAGATTGACCAATAGCAACCCACAACCATCCAAGGATTCAATCAATTCCCGATGAACAAAATCAAGTACATAAAAAACCCCAAATCAACCCTACATTTTCTCTTGTCAAGAAGCCGTTTCACTCGTACATACGTCACAGTAGGGAAGAAAATACTATCGAAACTTCAGTCTCATGCCGACTTAAAGGGATAGTTCACCCAAAAATGAAAATTATCCCGTAAATTAGCTCCAAAAAATGCATCCATCCATCATAAAAGTGAACCATATGACTCCAGTGGGGTAATAAATGCCTTTTGAAGCGAATCAATGGGTTTTTGTGTACATGCGTACGGCCGTTGCCGAAAGCCAGTGATATATAATTTATAAAGTTATAAATATGGATATTTTTCTTACAAAAACGGATTGCTTCATAAGGCATTTTTAACCCACTGTAGTCGTATGGATTACTTTTATGATGGATGGATGCGCTTTTTGGAGCTTCAAAAACTCAATATTCAATGCCATTAAAAATCTGAGAAGAGCCAGGATATTAATTAAAGTGTAAATTGCAGGTTAACCACCACAACCAATTAATGTGTAAATTAAAGTGCTTAATATGTATACATTTAAAAATTTCTGTCTTAAAATGCGTTAAAATAAAATTTATTGGGGTTTCTTCAAAGGTAGCATGTTTTCTACAGTAACTGGGTGATGACGTCATAAGAGGGAGCGCGGGCGGTAATGCACTCACTCTGTGTGTGCCAGTTGAGGGAGAATAAAACGATTCGCGGGACTCCCGCAAACTAGACATATCTATGAATAAAACATAAAAACTAATACACTTTTATTCATCTGTTGCAGAAAAGCAACAATAACAACTGAAACAAAATAGAAACGATTTACAGGCAGAGTTTCTATTTCTAACATGTCTGCAGCGTTGAGCGTTGTAGCCAATCACAGACATATGTGTTGATTTCTTGAACGCAATAACGGCCAATCAGAAGCATTTACAATAGACTCCCCTCACCGCCCAAAACTGACTTTTTGTTCAGTGCTGAATTCTGTATGCTGGCAAATCCTCTAATTATAACAAACATAGTGTATATATTATGAAAGCTTCATTGACAATAACAGATGTGTGAGATCGCAATGAACTGATGTCAGCTTTTTAGGAATTATTATGTGAGCGTGCATCAGGCATGCCAAACCATGCACGCAGTAGCTGCTTGTTTTTATGTTATAACAGTGGTTTGTGTGTTAATGCTTTATAACAAATAATTTATCAGGAGCATTTATTCTGATGTGTATGGTGGCGACACGTAGGCTAACTTGAAAGTATTTTGAGGTACAGAAAAAAGTCTTTTTGCGGGCAGGAGCAGGACAAAACATACATGTTGCGGGCGGCAGAAAGTATTATAGAAAGTAGTTGAGAACGTCAGTTATAACGACCCACGTATTAAAAAATAGTGGGGTTTAAACCGGGCTCGGGCTCATAATTACAGTTAATGGGCCGGGCCGGGGCTCGGACACAGCGGGCTCGGGTAGGGTCTTCCTTTATTTTTTTTGCCCCGATCTAAGCTCTACCTCGGGTAAGTTATGCTAACACTTACAGGCACGAATCAGCCGTTTGTCCTTGGGGAACTTGTGGAGCCTCTCCCCCGGTTTTGATGTATTCGTACATCCTGCACAAACACAATAGTTAACCATTTTTTGCTAGCTAGGTCTCCAATATAACGTAACTCTAGCTTGGAGCATAGACAGTAAAAGCTTGGAGTACCTGTTATGACGTCACGCCCAGCCTAGTGGAAGGGAGGGGGCGTGCTTAAAACCACTGTAAAACGTACCAACTTTTCATATTATATTCACCATTTCGGTATAAAAAACATAAAAAACAATGGTGGACGGATTTTATCTTTATGTTTAGGAAGCACATTGTTTTATCTTCGTGAAAAATTTTACCTGCAATTTACACTTTAATAAAAACTCTGATTGTGTTCAGCTGAAAGAAGAAAGTCATACACCTAGGATGGCTTGATGTTGAGTTAATAACTCAACCCCCCCCTTTCAAATACTCATTATTGTAAAATAAAGAAATAATTTTTCTATTTTAAAATATTTTTATTCGCAAAATATGAAATCACCATCATCTTTAATTTATGCTGCATTTGGTGTTATTTTTATATTGTTTTTATATTATTATAGTATCTTTAATATTTTGAATTAGCTTTTATATTAACATTTTCTTTTTAAAATTATTTTATTTCAGTTAGTTGTCAAGGCAACATTTCTAATATTCATTTAAGTTTCATCTTGTTGGATTAAATAAAATTACTTTATTGCAATATATTGGATTGTATTCCTTATTCTAGTACTGTGAAAATATGCTGATACAATGTATTGTAATTGTAAAAGTGTGATTTTTATTAGTTGGTGCCGGATTCATAATATTACGAGAAATACAACTACTGAAAAGATAAAATTCAATTCAGTTGTCATTGCTTGTAGCTTAATTTCACATTTACTTTCTTGCTTGAATGCAGTACACATTTCCTTAGTTCTAATTCCTCATCCAAAGATATATATTTTCTTCTCCCGGTGATTTCAGATTTTAGCATCATTTATAAAACAGGATGATACCACTTGCCAGTATATCAGGTATATGCATTTGTGTTAGAAATATTTCTTTTTTTATGCCTCCAGGTCGCTTCACGGCGGATAACCTAAACAAGGCCAAGAATCTGTGCAGCAAAGCCATCGGTGAAAAGATGAAGGTACGTAAAGCAGCTGTCATATATTTGTTTTGATCTGTTATCATTGAGTAATAATTATATTCTGCTTGCTGGTCGTATGATGTTTTTGCAGAAGAAAGAGCCAGTTGGTGACGATGACACTCTTCCAGAAGAGGCTCAGAATCTGGAAGCCCTCGCTGGAGAAACATTATCAGTGAGTCAAGCTATAATGTTTAATTCACATAATTATTGTATAATAAGGCCATCCTTAAAAATATTCTTGTTTGCCGTAACCCGACCGACCCAATTTTTTTTTTTTTTTTTCTTTTAGTCCGACTGACTTGCCGGTTGTAAACTTGCATTAAGACCGACCGATTTTTTTTTACTCTTCAAACAACTAATACAAATGCAATAAAATAATATAAATTTATTATAGTAAGTATTGTGAATATAAATTGCGTAGGCTACGTTCTTTCTTTTAAATAAAAACCCGTGGCGTCATCTATTATGATTTCATTCACTGTCAATGGTTCGCGCTCGGTGATGATGGCTGCGGCGCGGCTGCTTGTGAAATACGTCTGTATGAGCCTACATTTAGTCGCTCATTGTTCGAAATTCTTAATGGTCAAATAGGGAATAGGGAATCGATGTTAACGGCCTTTTCTTGGAGCGCGTCCAGCTCGTCACGATATGCCCACCGTGAACGCTCGTCATACAGCAACTGCAGGCTCTGACAAACAAACACACATAAGTGTGGGAAGCCAAACACACGGAAAGGGGGATGAAACGGCGCGGTGTGTTACAGAGTTCGCGCTGCGCTGACTTGTAATCTGCGTGGCTCAATGGACCGAGCCGCGCGAGTCGCGACAGACTCGACAGCGCAGGAGAAGTGTTTGCTTGCGCCAGCCAATGGTCAGAGCGGCGCAAACTAATCTCACCAGCACCGCGCTGACCAATAAAACAGCACATCCCATACCGAAATGTACTAAATTGCACAAAAGAAAATCGACCATTCCATGATATGTTAGGACAACTCAATCGGCCTATAGTTTCCTACAATGCGCCTAGCCATTTGACCTCACTGATTTCCGTTAATAATAGCAGATGTTTATGGGTCAAATCTCTCACTCTCTCCCTGCAACTTTTTGTTACCCTCCTTTCCTGCCCCTAGACCAGAAAGGGGGCTTGTAACAGTATGGGTCAAATGTAAACGAATGGTGCCAAACGCGCTGTTTTATTGGTCGGCGCGGCGCTGGTGAGATTAGTCATTTTAATTTATTTGTTTCCCTCTGAAAATCCACTTTCATTGAAATCTAGTGGCTCCTTTTTTTTTTTTTTTTTTTTTTTTTGCCTTTTTTTTTCCCAAATGAATGCAGCTGGAATTAATGCAATAAATATGTTTTTTTTTACAAAGATTTCAAATTGTTTGTGGTCTATAACCTGTATCAGAATGAGGTTCGCAATGGTGCGCCCGAAGGCACGGGTTGAAGACCCCGTCAGTGACGTCACGATATGCAAATTTGTTTAAATTCATACTGACGTAATCACCATGACCAAAATTATCCTTTTTTTTTTACATTGAATCTTGAAAAAAAAAATATAGACCTATACAGACCCTTTTTTTTTTTTTTTTTTTTTTTGCTGTTACTGCAAACCAAAATATTTTTAAGGATGGCCTAAGTGAATATACACTACTGTTCAAAAGTTTTAGATCAGTAAGATTTTTTCATGTTTTCAAAAGCAGTCTCTTCTGCTCACCAAGGTTGCATTTATTTGATCCAAAAAACAGTAAAAACTGTAATATTGTAAAAAAATTTTTTACAATTTAAAAGTTTTTGAATATATTTGAAATGCTGAATTTTCAGCATCATAACTCTAGTCTTCAGTGTCTCATTATCCTTTGTGAAATCATTCTAATATGCTGATTTGCTGCTCAAGAAACATTTATTATTATTCAAGAAATCATTCAGTGTTGAATTTTTTTTTTCAGGATTCTTTGATGAACAGAAAGTTAAAAAGAACAGCATTTATCTGAAATAGAAAGCTTTTGTAACATTATTCACTACCGTTCAGAAGTTTGGGGTCAGTGAGATTTGTTTTTTAAAGAAATCAAAGAAATTAATACTTTTATTCAGCAAAGATGCATGAAATTGATCAAAAGTTACATTAAAGACATTTATAATGTTACAAAAGATTTCTATTTCAGATAAATCCTGTCCTTCTGAACTTTGTTCATCAAAGAATCCTGAAAACAAATTGTACACAACTGTTCTCAACATTGACTACGTTTACAAGCTGTCAATATTCGGGTTATGGTCGGGTTAAGGTCACTATTCGGGTTTCTGAAACATTCGGAATAAGCCGTTTACATGAGTGAGCAGAGAGAGCCAGACGGCGCATACAAGAAGTTCCTCTACTCAAAAGACCAAGATTCCTTGCGAATAGAACATGCGCAGAACACAAATCAATGTTCCTTTTGATGGGGATATGCCGATACGCGTTTACATGACCAAATATTCGGGTTAGAAAAGGGGTAACCCAGGGATCATATTCGGGTTTTTACAAACCGGAAAATGAGCATATTCGTGGTTTTTGCCGGTGTTTACATGCCCGTGCCCAACCGGGTTATTGCTAATATTACGGTTTTGAACTGGTTATTGGCTACTTGTAAACGTAGTCATTGATAATAATAAGAATTTTTCTTGAGCAGCAAATTCTGAAGGATCATGTGACACTGAAGACTGGAGTAATGATGCTGAAAATTCAGCTTTGATCACAGGAATAAATTACATTTGAAAATATATTCAAATAGAATATATTTTAACTTTTAAAAAAAATATTTATATCAAATAATTATTAAATCAAAATATTTAATATCAAATAAATGCAGCCTTGGTGAGCAGAAGAGACTTCTTTTTAAAACATGAGAAAATCTTATCGATCTAAAACTTTTGAACGGTAGTGTATATATTTTATATAGTGTATAAAATATATATTATACACTATCAGTCACAAGTTTTTAAAGTTTTTGAAAGAATTCTCTTATGCTCACCAAGGTTGAATTGATTTCAACAAAATTACGATAAAAACAGTAATATTGTGAAATATTATTACAATATTCATGTATTAATATATATTTTGTATACTATATGAATGTATTTTGTATTTATTTAAATTGTAAATTATTCCTGTGTTGGCAACATATTTTGCTGCCTAATATTTGTTGTAGATTTTATTTTGACTGAAGTGTTGACATATATTAGAGTTGGGTTCCGAACTCAGTACTTTTAATGGCACAGACCGAATTACGTCAGTACTACCGAGTACCGATTCCCATTAAAGTAGTTGGTGCCAAATTTCAGTACCTGAGAACGCATCTGGGCGCGAGAGTAAGACTATTTAAATACGAATCCTGCATGTTCTTTGTGTCTCTGTGTGAATGAATGCCACAGACTAAATTACCGAAAAAAGGTACCATTGGGTACCAGCACCGAATTTCAGGTACCGGTCAAAATGTGAATGGTACCCAACCCTAATATATATATATATATATATATATTATATATACATACCCATAATATATATATACCCATTAAACAATGATCCACAACCCATCTGTGAGCATTAATTCTGCATTCTGTCTCTGGCAGCCCCTCACGGTGACTCAGATTAAGAAGGTGCGATTACTGGTGGACGAGGCTGTGCAGAAGACAGACAGTGATCGTCTAAAGCTGGAGGCGGAGCGCTTTGAGTTCCTGAGAGAGATCGGAAACCTCCTGCATCCCTCTGTGCCCATCAGCAACGATGAGGTGAGTTTCAGGGTGTTTTTATATACACAGTACACTAGGCAGGTCCTGCAAACCAAATACATTGCCTAGCCAAAAAAATAAATAAAAATCACACTCTAATATTTTGCTGGACTGCTTTTTGCTTTAATTACGGCACGCATTCATCATGGCATCATTTCTATAAACTCATGCAATGAAAAAACATTTATTTCCATCCAAAGTTGCATTCATTTCTCGCCTACATCTTGTCGCTTCGCAGCGTTATATCTTCTCCAGCACATCCCAAAGATTCTCAGTGGGGTTAAAGGGGGCACCGGATGCAAAATTCACTTTTATATGGTGTTTGCATATAAATGTGTCTTTGCAGTGTGTAGAGTGTGGACACAACCACCATACAAAAAAATCCATTCACTCCTTTTTTTTTTAATCCTCAAAAAGTCTAAACCAGGGTTCTTCAAACTCTGTCCTGGAGGGCCACTGTCCTGCAGAGTTTAGCTCCAACCCTGATCAAACACACCTACCTGTGAGTTTCTAGTGATCCTGAAGACCTTGGTTAGCTTGCTCAGGTGTGTTTGATCAGGGTTGGAGCTAAACTCTGCAGGACAGTGGCCCTCCAGGACCGAGTTTGAGGAACCCTGGTCTAAACACTCAATAATCAAGCCGTTTGGATTTTCTGAGCACTATGATGTCATAATGCTCATGCTCCGCCCACGACCACTGACGGACTGTCCCGTATTAGCATATTTCTGCCCTCAGCCATTCGACACCCCCCATGGAAGAGAGGTGTGGGGTGAGCAGTTGCTCATTATCATTTAAAGAGACATGCACTGAAACAGGTCACGGTGAACAAAGCTGTTTTTGAGGAGGTAAAAAGGGTGTTGTTTTACACAAACATTGAGGAATTTTAACCAAAGTATATTACGAACTTTACATGAACACCCTAAAGAATCATACCAACCTGTGGAAAATGGGCATCCAATGAACCCTTTAAGGTCTGGACTCTACTAGCCAATTCATGTGTGAATGTGTGTCTCATGCTCCCTGAACCACTCTTTCACAATTTGATCCCGATGAATATGCCCATGCATATTCAAAAAATCCATTGATGGAAAAACCTGGTCATTCAGTATGTTCATATAGTCAGCTGGCCTTATCTTTTGGGCACATAACGTTGCTGAACCTAGACCGACCAACTGAAGCAACCCCGGATCATAACGCTGCCCCCAGTGGCTTGTACGGTAGGCATTAGGCGTGATGGGTGCATCTTCATCCACCTCTCTTCTTACCCCGATGTGCCCATCACTCTGGAACAGGGTAAATCTGGACTCATCAGACCATTTGACCTTTTTCCATTGTTCCATAGTCCAATCTTTATGCTCCCTATCAAATTGAAGCTTTTTTCCCAATTCGCCTCACTAATAAGTGGTTTTCTTAAGGCTACACAGCTGTTTAGTCCCACATTGTGTGTGTTTAAATGCTCTTAGTTTCACTATTAAACATGACTGTGTTCTACTGATGATTTTTTACGATTTGATTTCACCTAACGTTTAAGTGATCTCTGATAATGATCATTTAAAAAAAGTCCAACCATATTTCTTCCTCAAAGATGATGGTTCACCACTGTCCTCCCAGGTTCTAATAATGTGCTGGACAGTTCTTAACCCAATTTTAGTAGTTACCGAAATCTCCTTAGTAGTTTTCTTTGCTTTATGCTTGATTTTTTTTTTTTTTTTTTAAATGAGAAGCTGCTCACTGCATCAGTTAGGATTAAATAACTTGTTACCAGCTGAAGCAAATTGATCATTGCAGTAATTATCCTATGGAAGGCTCTTTTCTATTTGCTTGGTTAAATCCAGGTGGTCACTTGTTTATTGGCCAGGCAGTGTATAATGTAGCATATGTTGTTGCTTAACTTATTCAACTGGAGACTAAGGTAAAATGTTGTTTCTCTTTCTCAGGATGCTGATAATAAGGTGGAACGCACCTGGGGTGACTGCACAGTGCAGAAGAAGTACTCTCACGTGGACCTGGTTGTCATGGTGGATGGATACGAAGGGGAAAAAGGAGCCATCGTGGCTGGAAGCAGAGGATACTTCCTAAAGGTTGGTTGCCCTTTAACCTAAAATTATTTATTGTCAAACTGTGCAAGGAAGGGAACTGAAGGACAACGGCATTGTTTTTGTGTAAACCACTTCTGAACATTTCAGTACTGAGGATGTGGTAACCATTTTGCCTTGTTGCACAATATTTACCCCCGTTCTCATGTCAGTTCTTCAAAAGAAACATGCCAAAAAGCACTTTAAAATTGTATGGTGTATTGTATTTCAGGGGCCTTTAGTTTTCTTGGAGCAGGCTTTAATTAACTATGCACTGCGGATCCTGTACAGCAAGAACTACAACCTGCTGTACACACCCTTCTTCATGAGGAAAGAAGTCATGCAGGAGGTCGCTCAGCTCAGCCAGTTTGATGATGAGCTCTATAAGGTTTGTCCTATATCTATTGCTTAATACTTTATTTGAACCTTTTGATGTATTAAAATGTATATACTAATGTGTATATTTGTATATTATAATATATATTATTATATATTATATATATATGTATATACTAATGTGTGTGTAATATAAATAAATAAATAAATATATATATATATATATATCACTGATTCTTGAGAGTCGGGACAAAACACGTTTTAAAAAACTTTAAAAAAAATACACACTATATCAATTAGAGTTGTTTGTTTCTGCAAAGAAAGGTCTTAGCTATTTAACCATGTAAAGGAACAGGTTCTAAATAAAAACACATTTTTAACAAATAAATATGTTTCCCTTTAGAACTGGATTTGTGTCAACTCCGTCAGACACACTAAAAAGTATACAATTTTAATTCTTCCAATCCAGCAAGAATCTAAATTTCTAAAGTATATTGTAATAGTGTTTAGTTACTCTGATATTTAAAAAAAATACAATATATAAATTTAAGTTGTGATTTCACACTATTCTGAAAACTCAGATTTCTAAATATTTGCATTTTCAAACTTTGATTTTAATTTCAATATTGTAAAAACAAATTCCTTAAATAAATAAAACATGAGAAGATGTAGATCAGATGGTCCCTTATTACAAAAACAACATAAACTAAAGGAAGAACATTTCCCCCCCCCCCCAAAAAAAAAAAAAAAAACATACATCCAACGCTGTTGATGAAGATCTGACGGTGTTGATGAAGATCTGACGGTCTTGATGAAGATCTGACGGTCTTGATGAAGATCTGACGGTCTTGATGAAAAACTAACGGTGTTGACAAAAAATATGTGTGCATTGTGATTATTGAACAGATGTGCTCTTTGAACTACTACTAAAACTACTCCTTTTTATTAGAGTATTGAACTTACTGTAAAGCAAACTATAATAAACATATTGCACACACACCGTTTCCAACTATTATAAATTACACCGTTTCCAACTATCAAAAAAAAAAAAAAATACGGGAAACCAGGGGCCCTCCTCCCCCTCTGTTTTCATCTACCTCCCCTATACCACTTCCTGCTCTCCTTTTTTTCATCCACCTCTTCTCCTCTTCCTTTCCTCCTTTGTAAGTAGCCATTTACTTTAAAGTGGCGTATGTGTGTGTTTGGGTGTGTTGGATGTGTGATTGCCCTGCACTGCCTACTTTATACTGGGTGTGATCTTAAATTGACATTCCTTGACAACAATACTGCAACACATAATCTGTAGCTTAGAATCAGGTTCAATTAGCTGAATTACAGAAATAACGCATTTAATGTAATGTGTTTGTTTAGGTGATCGGGAAGGGGAGCGAGAAGTCTGACGACAGTTCAGTAGACGAAAAGTATTTGATTGCCACATCGGAGCAGCCAATAGCAGCTTTCCTGAGAGATGAATGGCTGAAGCCAGAGGATCTCCCCATCCGCTATGCCGGCTTCTCCACCTGCTTCAGACAGGAAGTGGGCTCTCACGGCAGAGACACGCGCGGGATCTTCAGGGTCCATCAGTTTGAGAAGGTCCGGGCAATTCTATCATGAAAATAATGTGTGAACAGTGGAATATTAATTTTAGATGACTATTATTTCATATTAAGGAATAGACCTCTATCAAATTTTGCAGTAAGTAAAGATCTTGAAGAAAATTCTGGTATTATTTAAAAGAATCTTGTTTAAGTATGAAATCACAACCGCTCTGAATACAAACTCTTTCCAATGGTTTCCAGATCGAGCAGTTTGTGTACGCCTCTCCTCATGACGGCAAGTCCTGGGAGATGTTTGATGAGATGATTGGAACAGCTGAAGAATTTTATAAGTCGTTAGGAATCCCCTACCGCATCGTCAACATTGTGTCGGGTTAGTTCCCATTGTCCAGTTTTTCCATTGAAAGCACCAATGGAACTAATAAGCCACTATTTGTTGGAAAATCTTGAAAGTTTTTATCAGCTTCCTGTAAAAAAAAATCTTCAAATGAATTGTTTGCTTTTGTTTCACAGGTGCTTTGAACCACGCTGCTAGTAAAAAGCTGGATTTAGAGGCTTGGTTCCCCGGCTCCCAGGCTTTTAGAGAGCTTGTGTCATGCTCAAACTGCACAGATTACCAGGCTCGCCGCTTGCGTATTCGCTACGGTCAGACTAAGAAAATGATGGACAAGGTACAGTTCTACTCCACTGTTCTGAAGAATGATGCTGGGTTATCTGTTTTTACCATTTGAGGTTGGTTTGATTGACCGTTGTGTCTGTTGTCTTAAAGGCTGAGTTTGTGCATATGCTAAATGCCACCATGTGCGCGACCACTCGCGTTATGTGTGCTATCCTGGAGAACTTCCAGACAGAGGAAGGCATTATTGTTCCAGAACCTCTCAAGGCATTCATGCCTCCAGGTGAGCACTGCTGAGTATGGATCTGTTTACCTGGATAGGTTATAGAAAAGTTTGCCTCAATCTTATTCTACATGCATGGAAAAGACTTGTTTTGGGATGCCATAAACTAGTCGTTAAAGATTAGGCTGGAAATCGTATGGAATTTTTTCAGATTCTGGATCTGATACTGGTTCCACTGGTGACACTGCATTTGATTCACTATAAAGAAGCAATTCACTACAAGGAACCAAGTCATTTTTTGGGAATCGGATAATACTGGTTGCATTGAATGTTTTGTTTTCCAAAAAAATAACAGATTCACAAGTAGGAGTGCAATGGATCGTAGTTGATCCGTATGGACCAGGACACACGGTTCAGCACGCATGTGATTCACGGATGAATTGCTTAGTTTGACCATTATAGAGTGAAAGTATATAATTTGCACTTGTTTATTCTTGACAATTTACACATTCAAGCGATTTTAAACCATTCAAGCGCTAGAAGAGGCGAAAGAGAACTCTATTGCACGCTGTCATCTGTTTTTCAATCAAAAGAACCGGATATGTGAGCTATAAGTGGACCTTTAGATAGCTGTTTAATGTGTGTAGGTTACGTTTCCTCTGATAAGAAGTTGTCACCAATTGTGTCTCCAATCAATCTTAATATTATGGTTTCTTTACTCAGGTTTAACAGAAATGATCAAGTTTGTGAAGCCAGCCCCTATTGAACTGGAGGCAACCAAGAAGCAGAAGAAGCAGCAGGAAGGAGGGAAGAAGAAGAAACAGGGCGGTGACGCTGATATAGAGAACAAAGTGGAGAGCATGTCAGTCAATGACTCTTAGACGCGCCCCCTTGCAATCCCAGCCAATCATAATGGTTCACAAGACCTCCATTTTCTGTTCCCCATTCACAAACATTGTCCACTGAAGCTGTCACATGGTTTCATCCCTGTCATGCCCCTGCCTCACTTTACTTTCTCTGGGACAGTCCTACTGTGGCGCTGTCTGTCTAATGGTGATGATGGTGTCATGTTTAATAATCATATTTTAAATTATTCTCAAATCATTTTCTTTGAAATCTTTAATTAAATGCATGATGTTGTGACAGACATTTAGCCATTAGACCGAAATGCCTTGATGGAACTGTAATTACCTAAGGCATTGTATTATAATTCTGCTGTTGAATTAAAGGGAACATGCATGGTCATTACAATTAGTACTGGGATTATTCTGCATCAGTGCCACATTCAAGGTGGGAGTTTTAGGAAATTCTTAATGAAAATCGGTTCTGGATAACGGACAGACCTCTTTCAATATCCTGTCTTACAATTAATATTTGCTCTATAATTAAAGTTAAGGGAATTGATTACTGTGCACTTACTGTTCACATTGTCACAAAAGTTAAAGCGAGCAGCTTTCTGTCATTTACGTCTGTCTTTTGCTTCATAGAAACATTTCCTCTTGTGATTTGTCTGTTAAACAGGGAATGTTATTATATGTACAGTACTTGCTTAAGATGCCTTGTGTGAGGAGTATGATGGCATTTGAGGATAAATCAATACCTGAAAGAAAACATTGTCTCTGAATTATGTTTCGTGTTATGCTTTTTCTGAATGCATGAATATTATGTTAAGGGTGTTAAATGTAAGAGGCTATTATTATCTAATTGCACACTTTTATCTGAAGCAACATACAATTTAAGAAAACTAAATCATCAATTTAATTTACAATTTAACTCAGAGTACAAGTAGCCTAGCCATATTAGTCATCTTATGTGGGTGTTTTTAGAAAGCACATAAAAGGCAATTTCATATGCCTAAAAAAATAGACTGGTTTACATTGTAATAAAAATAATGCATTTTCACCTATATAGAGTTGTGAGGAAAGACTGCATAGTTGCTATCAAATGTATAATTTAGCCAAACACATTAGATCATGGAGTTCGTTGTTTTTTTTTTTGCCAAAATTATATGAATAAAAAGAGAAAACTTTTATTTTGTGTTAATCCAAATATTGTTTATGAAGGGTTTCTGGAAAATCTTACCCACTAAATGGTCACTGTAAACAGTTGGAGGTAATAAAAAAGCAATATACTAATTTAAAACTTTTAACCTCATGCAAGAAACCACTCAGTCCTGGGACTTTTGGAAGTAATTTGATTCAACTGGAGCACAGTTTCAAGCATTTAACTCAGTGTTTATAATGGATAACTGTAGGTTTCTTGTTTTCACAATTTATGTTTTTTGTTAAGTACACTTGTGAAATAAGTACACTAACGCATCAAACCCCTCTAATGTTTTTTTTAAGTAAATAAGGACTGAGTGAGTCTGATGGACTGCAACTCCCAGAAGCCCTTTCTCCAGTCGCGGATATATCCTGAGATTCCATTGGCTCATTGCAATGTCATTCGCCAATCGTGTTTCAGAATACTGCCTTTACAAACTGCCACTTCAAAAACGGTAAGATGTGAGTCTGTCAAACATATCGGCGTATTTACTAAATAATTTGAGTTCATTTCAGTTAAAGAATAAAATTGTTTATCTTTTATTAAAGATCCATTAACGAAGCTGTACATAAAGCGATGGGATCCGGAGAAAGCACGTCAAGGAGAGTTTCTTTCGGCCTAGATGAGGATGACAGGGTGAGGATTCTGCGTGGAGTGAAGGTAATCCAATATCAGATATCTATTACCTTCAAGTCATTCGGGTTATGTACGATTATGGTAGGTAGTGCGGGACTTTGTAGCGTGAATTTGCAACAGGGTTAACCGAACGTCCTTCAATGGACGGGACACGTTTAGGAAAACAGGCCACAGTGTTGTTTCGGATGTCTGTCATTTCACAAATAGATAAGTTACGTGAATTGCAGTTCGCATATGATTGTCAGCTCTGGCTAATGACAACTGAGTCTTAAACCGAGAAACTGTTTCCTGCTTGTGTTGTGAAGTTGTGTTGGACTGATATCTTAATGACCTAGTGTGTCCTCAGGTGTGCAGAAGTGTAATTGAAACTAAGGGCAGGTGTATGTATGGTAACGTTAAGTTACTGTCTGGACGTTAAGCGCGGTTAATCTTTTAATACTTCTCCAATAACGTTAGAATTGACCACATATTTGCTTGCTCTGGAAAGTGTCATTCTTCCAAGTGACTGAAATCTTTTGAGTTCGATCACTATAGATCTTTAATAGATCATATATGATATGAGTGGTTGGTTGCATGATTAGGACAGTAGATGAAAACAAGTTTGGAGAGTTATTATTCTGTATTAATGTGTGTGTGTTTACAAAAGGATACCCAATAACTAATGATTAAGCTTTATAAGCAACAAATTACAAAAAGTAGATCTATGTTTTTCCCCTTGCAGTTTGTCAACTGCTGTGCATTACTTAAAGTCAATCTATAGATAAAAAACAGAACGATAATAGCCTAAATTATAAGTTCTCAGTGACACCAATGCTTAATTTTACTTGTGTGTTCATCAGTCATTTTTATACATGTATGTTCTTAGCTGTCTGAAGACGTCCTACAGCGCATGAGGAATGTCAGTGCTGATCCAAGACCACCTGTCAACAATAAAGAGAACCTAGGTATGACATAATATTTTCCATGTTCATAAATTTTGGCAGTTTATATGCCTGTGTGCTTACGAGATGCAATAAATGAGATATTAAATTTGTAATGCATGTCAGCGATTATTATTTTAGTTTTTCTATAACTTTGCAGGTCAGCAGGATCGAACGTCCAGCACATCTGACTCACAACCTCCAAAAACACAGGCCAAGACGACTTTTCCTGATACGAAAGAGGAGCTCAGGAAGAGGTAATCTAAGGGTTTTTTCAAATAGTGGTCCAGGGACCCCCAAGAGAGTGCTAGGGTGTCCTTTGAAAAGTTAAGAGAAAAACTTAAAAATGAATGAATAATAAAAAGATTAAAATAAATAAATAACAATTATATTAAAATAATTAAATAAATAATATCAAAAAAAAATAAAGTAAAAAAAATGTATATATAAAAAAAACCAATACATCTCATTGTATAATTTTGTGGCTAGAAAAAACAAGTTTAATGTGTTTAACTTAATGTTTTTACAAGCTTAACTTGTTAATAAGTTTAAAGTTTAAAATCCCTTAGGCCTGGTTTCACAGACAGGGCTTAGAAGAATAAGCCAGGATTAGGCCTTAGTTAAATTTGAAAGCTGTTTAATTTAGAAAATGAAGTAGCTGTTATAAATGTGCCTTAAAGGGATACTCCACTTTTTTTGGAAATTGGCTCATTTTACAACTCCTTCAGAGTTAAACTGTTGAGTTTTACCGTTTTTGAATCCATTCAGCCGATCTCCGGTGCAGCAGGCAGGCTTGAGTGCAGCAGGCGTAATGATATGACGCAGCGCCTGAAAATAGTTCCGTTGTGTTGACGGAAGGTGGCCTATTTTCAGGCGCTGCGTCATATCATTACGCCTGCTGCACTCATGGTACGGCAGTAAAGTTTCTTGATTATTACGCAGGAATGAGAGTATAGTTCCTAGCCATATCAGCCTAGAAAATCGCAACTTTACATTTTCCGTCGGTCTTAGTGCACGATGTTACTACAGAAGAGTCAAGTTTTAAATAGGAAAAATATCTAAACTCTTTGGTCATTTTTTTTTTTTTAGAAATGCTAATGGTCTTGTCCACTTCAATGATGTATGCTAAACTATGCTAAAAGTGGTACCGCCAGAACCGGAGATCGGCTGAATGGATTCAAAAACGGTAAAACTCAACAGTTTAACTCTGGGGGAGTTGTAAAATGAGCCTATTTCCAAAAAAAGTGGAGTATCCCTTTAAATCACCATTACTGGTGTGCATCTTGAGACCAAACAATGGCAGTGATATATTTTAAGATAAAACAAGCATGCAACCTTTTGCTGTTGAAGGTTGCAGCCTTGCTTGTGAAATCGGGCACTAATCTGTTTAAAATTCCCTGTAAAGGCAATTCAAAAAAAAAAAAAAAAATCTAAACGCATTATAAATGTTAGAAATGTATTGCTAAAACACATTACAAAGACTGTGAACTGTGAAGTACTGAATTGTGAGGTTGGAACATTAAACAGTTTTTCACCATTGCTGTGTTCAGGATTTTTTCTGTGTCGATGACGCACTGGAGCCATTGAGGCTGGCCTCTCCCCTAACAAAATAACTAGAGCACATTTGCATCAGTTCACCGCTCAATCGTCTAGGGCTGTTGGAATGAATTCCGAAATTCGAATATAATTCGAATATTAAAAAAATCAATACTATTCGAATGCTGAAGTTACTATTCGAATATTGTTTTTTTATGTATATTTTAATTTTTTTATATATATAAACAGGAAAGAGGCCGCACTATGCATAAATTGTTTTATTTGCACAAACGCGCTTCAAGAAGGCACGCGCCGAAACGCGTTTGTGCAAATAAAACAATTAATGCATAGTGCGGCCTCTTTCCTGTTTAACGTTATATATTCTAATCATCAGGCCAGCATTCTTAAAGTTTAAGTTTTATCATTGAGTGAAGCCTGCTCCTATTCCCATTCATTAATTTTTTTTATATGGAATCTTGCCTTTCTCGCCACCTTGACTTACACACATGTGAAAATGAAATGCTTTTGTTTCGTCTGATGAACAATAACGTTTTTGAATCGTAACACAATTGTGCACGTTATCCACGCTGTATCATCATAACAATACTGTCAAAAATGGTAAATGTTTAACAACTTAAAAAAACGCCCGTGAAGCGCAAATATCTTGGTGAAAACTCAACGGATTCGGCGAGCACCAAACTCGCTGGAACGTCTAGTCGAACTGAAAAGAACGATATAAGTTTCAGAATTTTTGGTGGTGTTTTAGCGGAGATATTAGCCGAAAACCATCGGTAGCGCTTCAACCATATTCAGCACGAATAAAATGTTTATTGTAATGTTAGATATCCCTCTATTGGACAGAACGTGTAACAACAACCACATGCTATAGTGGCATTGGCGATCCATAAGCCTGAGTAATGTCGTAAATATTAATAATAGGATGAATTTGAGCATTTAATATTCGAATATTAT